GGGACATTGTGACGTCCACTAGATGGCGACAAAGACATGGGGAACTCTTTGCTGCCACTTAATGGACATCTGGACTCTTGCAGCCCGAACTGACCCCAAATATATAGTCAACAGTGACAAATCAAGATGGCTCCGTTGGCATGCGGTTTTCCAATGTATTTTTATTCTTGTTGTTGCCTCTGCAAGTTATAATTTAGTTCTGCATTGAAGATGCTTCAGGTATCTGCTTAAAGATGCTGGGTTCTTAGCTAAGGCAACTGGCCATGTTTTGTTCCTGGTTTAACATTTGCCCCCCCCCCCCGATTTTTCTCTAAAGAGAATATTGCTATCCCTCCCAGGGACAGAGTTAGTAGATGTTTGAACAGGCAAATGACAATTGGAAAAGAACATAACTGGGGAGAGGGGAGGGGATGGAAAGGAGAATTCATTGTTTGACTTCTTTGGCATTGGCAAACAAAAAATTATATTGGAAAAACTGCCAAACAAATAAACCCACATCCTTAGGCCTACATGCATATGAAATATACTTTTTTACAGCATTGGGAAGATTTTTTTCCCCCCAATAGAATGGAATAGAACAAAATTACAGAATTGGAAGGGACCTTGGAGGTCTTCTAGTCCAACCCACAGCTCAAGCAGGCCTATACAATTTCAGACAAATGATTATCCAAACTCTTCTTAAAAACCTCCAGTGATGGAGCACCCACAACTTCTGAAGGCAAGTAGTTCCACTGATTAATTGTTCTCACTGTCGGGAATTTTTCTCCTTAGTTCTAGGCTGCTTCTCTTCTTGGTTTGTTTCCATCCATTGCTTCTTGTCCTGCCTTCATGTGGCTTTGGAGAATAGCTTGACTCCCTCTTCTTTGGGGCAACCCCTGAGATACTGGAACACTGCTATCATGTCACCCCTAACCCTTCTTTTCATTAAATTGCACATACCCAATTCCAGCAACCGTTCTTTATATATTTTAGATCCCTCCATAAGTTTCCATCCATTGCTTCTTGTCCTGCCTTGAGGTGCTTTGGAGAATAGGTTGACCCCCTCTTCTTTGTGGCATCCCCTCAAATATGGAAGACTGCTATCATGGCACCCCCTAGTCCTTCTCTTAGTTAGATTAGACATACCCAGCTCCTGCAACCGTTCTTCGTATGTTTTAGCCTCCAGTCCCCTAATTATCTTTGTGGCTTTTCTCTTGTGGATTTCTAGAGTCTCAACATCTTTTTTACATCATGGTAACCAAAACTGGATGTATGAGTATTCCAAGTGTGGCCTTACAAAGGCATGATAAAGCAGCATTAACACTTAAATGTCACATAAACAACAGGAAGGTGCTACTGCCTTTAACAGTGTTTCTCAACCTTGCTGGCTGTGGAATTCTGGGAGTTGAAGTCCACATATCTTAAAATTGTCAAGGTTGAGAAACACTGCTTTAGAAAGTAGAAGTCTTCTGGATGTAAGGTCTTGTCAATTTCAGATGGTAGCAGGGCACTAATGGACTAATTAAGATCATAGAACTAGTCTTATTTATTAACTTGCAGTTAGCATTTATTAGGGAAGTCCTTACAGAGAGAAGATACTCATGAAGAGATACCTAAAAAGCTGGACCATGTTTGATTTTTTTTAGACCATGCCTGCCAGGTGTGGACATAGAGACAAAAAGGAAGACTTGTCCCATTTTGCTGAATATCAGATGACCCCATCCAGAGAGGCTTTTCTTCTGAATTTTTTTTGGGAAACCTTCCCTTTGCCTTTCCCTGGTAGATTCTCACAAAGTTTCATTTGTTCATAAGACACCGTGGCCTTAAATGTTGCATACAAATTACTTTTTCTCTTGAACTCCTCAAGGTTTCCGTCAAGTCAGCTCTGTGCAATGGTGAGTCTATATCAGCGGTTCTCAACCTTTGTGTGACGGCGACCCCTGTCACACGGATGCGCCGCGCATGCGCATGCGCGGCGCCGCCCCCTGAGGGGGAAAAATGGCGGATTGCGTTGTTTGGCGATCCCCGTAAAATGGTCGTTTGACCCCAAATGGGGTCACGACCCATAGGTTGAGAACCGCTGGTCTATATCATTTCACAGTCACCATTTTAATCCCCTAATTTCTGAAAGGCAGTTGGCCTCGGATGTTGGCCTTGAAAAATTGGAATCAGTTGATCCAGGCATAAATTAGTCAACTGGTTGACCAATTGGAGATTGCCAAAAATGGGAGGGTCCGTCTCCTTTCTCACCCCTCCCCAAACTTTCTAGAGTAGGGGTCCCTAATCCCTGGTCCGTGGACTGGTAACCGGGCTGCAGCATGCCAGCAACTGGGTCGCACAAATAAGCAAAGCCATGTCCCCTCCTGTCCATGGAAAAACCTTTCTCCACTTAACCATTCCCTGCTACCCAAAAGGTTGAGGACCTCTGTTCTAGAGGGTCAACATTTCAGAAGAAAAACAGATACACAGAAGCTGATCTCAACAAACATCTAGGGCAGTGTTTCCCAAACTTGACAATTTTAAGGCATGAGGACTTCAACTCCCAGAATTCCACAGCCAGCATTGCTGGCTGTGGAATTCTGGGAGTTGAAGTCCACATGCCTTAAAATTGTCAAGTTTGGGAAACACTGATCTAGGGATAGGACCAGCTTGGAAGTCTTTTTAATATGTTTGGAAAGATGCTGTCTTGGGTTATTATTAAAGTAATAAAATCAGGATAAAAATCTAATAAGACACTTCCATATTGGGATTGTAGAGATTCAGCTTGCGATACATGTTCAGGAGGCTGTTGATATTTCCCTATAATACTATGAAATAATATTGCACATTACAGAATATAGAAGTTGAAAGTTTTGCCTCTGTTCTTTTTTTAAATTTCTGCTTTGGGTCCTGGCGTTCTCTGCTACTCTAGGATTCCATCCAAATTGTTCTATCTAATCATTGTCTTGTCACTTGCCTATATATATATATATATATATATATATATATATATATATATATATATATATATATATAAACTCCAAAGTACACTGAATCTGGCACTGGGTCATCTCCCAAATTTAATCTCCCCCCCTTTTTAATTACAGATCCTGCATTTCAGCTTAGACAAATGTTGTCGGATTGTTTCACAATAAAAGAATCGGTGGCACTGGGCCATACGAGGAGCACACTGCTCTACAAAAATGTAAGTGAATACTTATGATTTGAAGAACCCATTGCCAGATAAATGTTGCCTCCTTGCTTCATTTTAATTCTAGTCCTGCAGTTTGTTTCCTAAACAATGTATTTTAGGGCTGCAATTATATCTAACTCTATGGGAAAGACGGAATTAAATCTGGCTGGGAAGAGAACAATGATTGTGCTGGAGAACGAGTTTGCGTTCTTGATATTTCTTCTTTTTTTAAAAAAATCTTGGAGTTGCTAACTGCATAGGACGTGGAAGTTTAATAATAAAATAAGTTTAAGACTGATTTCTTGAGAGGTCTGGAATGATCTGTTATCTCCTTGGTTTTTGCATCACACTGAGATAATCCTTGATGCTTCTTGAAGTGTCGCTTAAAAAGGCATGGTCAACTGTAAAGGATTTGCTATAAGAATGAAAAATGGTATAATTTATGTATAACCATGTATAACCATGACATTATCATTAACGGGAGTAGTGAAGGGAGCTTCCATGTTCCAGCAAGTATTTACCATCTGGATTGGAAATTTTAAAAAAAAAAATGTTGACTTTTAGAAAGCTGAAGAGTAGGAGTGTTCTTGTACCCTCTTAATAACAGTACATCTATTATGGGTAGTTTTAGACTTTACGGTCACAATTGGGACTAGAATTTGCATGGACCTGGCTTGTCGGAAGTTGGCTGGGAAGGATGCAAATGGTGATTAGGTGACCCTGGGACACTGCAACCCTTGTAAATTCTAGAAAAAGTGCAGAGAAGAGCAACAAAGACGATTACGGGACTGGAAGCTAAAACGTATGAAGAACGGTTGCAGGAAATGGGCAGGGCTAGTCTAGTGAAGAGAAGGACCAGGGGAGACATGATGGCAGTCTTCCAATATTTGAGGGGCTGCCACAGAGAGGAGGGGGGGGGTATCAACCTATTTTCCAAAGCACCCGAAGGCCAGACAAGGAATAACGGATGTAAACTGATCAAGGAGAGATTCAACCTAGAAATAAGGAGAAATTTTCTGACAGTGAGAACAATCAACCAATGGAACAGATGGCCTTCAGAAGTTGTGGGAGCTTCATCCCTGGAGGCTTTCAAGAAGAGACTGGACAACCATCTGTCAGAAATGCTGTAGGGTCTCCTGCTAGGGCAGGGGGTGGGACTAGATGACCTCCAAGGTCCCTTCCAATTCTGTTATTCTATTCTGTTCTGTTCTGCTCTGCTCTGCTCCGCTCCCTTTCTGTTCTGTTCTGTTTTAGTCTAGTCTAGTCTAGTCCATTCTGCATTTCATTCTGCATTCTGTTCCGTTCCGTTCCGTTCCATTCCATTCCATTCCATTCCATTCCATTCCTATTTCTATTCTATTCTATTCTATTCCATTCCATTCCATTCCATTCCATTCCATATTCTATTCTACTCTACTCTACTCTACTCTATTCTACTCCACTCCATTCCATTCCCATCTTCTGTTCTGTTCTGTTATATTCCATTCCATTCCATTCCCATATTCTATTCTATTCTATTCTATTCTATTCTATTCTATTCTATTCTATTCTATTCATACTGTTCCTCAAGGACCCCAGGTTATTACATACGACAGATTCACATAAGCCTGGTTGAAGCCATTTTGATTTTATTAATGCAAGCACAGCAAGTCAAACACGGAATATCCTGCTTTATGGTACAGCTTTTCATATGTAGGAATGCAGTTCCCAATAACAAAACACAGATGTTGAAGGAATGTCTCAAACCAAAGATTAAGGGGGAAAATGTGCAGAATTTGAGAATTTGGCTGCGAATCACGCTTTTTCAAGTATATACTAGAACCAGTTCAGATAACCACTGGAGTGCCCATTCATATCCAAGCTTTTATTATTTTTCATCTTAAATATGCCTACACATCATGTAATCCAGAATTGTGTTTCTCACATATGAAATTTGAAGCATCCTGTTGTAAATGTCAAATACATCAACAAAGCCAAATGTACAATCCCTTTCATAGGATTTGACACCTCTCAAAGTGCAAAAAAGAAAAAACAAAACAAAACTCATTGAAATAATACAGTACAAATATATATATATATTTTTCTCCCCACTGGGATCGAAAATCAATACTTCAGGATAGGAAAAAATAGCAGCTCAACCAATAAAACAAGCCATTAATTCTAGCCTGCCTTTATGGGGATCTTGTTCTATAAATTCATAGTATTTTTATTTTTTTTGGTGTAAATCAATTTCATTGTTTCTTTCATTGCTTTCTCCTTGTATCCTGAACAGTTTGAATGTAAGTAGTGAAATGCTTTTGGCAAAATGTATTTTGAGTCAGCTGGATAGATTTTCTGATATATCGATCAAAAGAATGAAATAAGATTTATTTATTGTGCATATAACATGTACATATGCACACATTTCATAGTATTTTAACGGCCCTCCATTTGGAACTCATAAATGTAAAATGGTAAACCATTACTGAATAAATTAAAAAAGGTTTCTCCTAATTTAAATTAGAAAGTTGGGGAGTAACAATGAGCTAATGGAATTCCCATGATTTAGACATACGTTTTAGAATGAATATATATTTTAAACAGAACTGGCTAGCTTCGTGATTTTTTTTCCCACATTTTTTTTTCCCCACTGTAGTACGTGGGGACTGTTTTATCTCTCTTTCTCTGACTTGGCCAAACTGTTTTTCAGCTTTTATCCAATTTTTTTAAAGCCTTTTACTTTGATGCAGTGGCTTTTTTTTTTCTGACCACAGCTGAACCACAGAGTAGCCAACCATGGTTTAGCTGAGCAAAATCAAGTAAATTAGCTTGCCTGTATGGATAACAGATCCATTTAACCAATTGGATTTGGAAGCCAAAGGTGAGAACAGAGCATATATCTGCAAACTTTTTTTTAACACAGTTGCATTTTCTCCTAGGAAAGGACAAGGCTGTCTTAAAAAGTTATAATAGCTACAATGCAGTTGGTCCTTGGCTTACAATCTTGCTTGTCAGAAAGGATCACATGAACCCGGGATACCGCGACGGTCATAAATGTGAATCAGTAACCAGGTGTCTGAATTTTGATCATGTGACCACAGGGATGCTGTGTGAAGAAGTGTGAAAAAGAGTCCTAAGTTGCTTTTTTCAGTACAGTTGTAAATTCAAACGGTCACTAAATGAATTGTAAACCAAGGACCATCTGTCTCAACCCATTTTGGCCTTCCAAGCCTTTATTTGCTTGAATGTTCACCTCTCTTTATTTATTTTTTCCCCACCGAAACTAATGCAATTTTAAAACTCGGAAAGCAAGAAGTTAGATTTATGATGATCAGAAGAAAACACATTGAGAACAGAATAAATAAACAGGAGGCAGCGAAATATATATATAGATATATACACATTTAAAACTTGGTTCTAATGGAAATAGAACATGGCAGATGTCCCAGATAACTTTTTAAAAAAATACACGGTCTCAATTCCGTAACAGGATCCAAGGATTCAGCAAGAGTGAAGACGGTCAATTCTAGTGAATAATACAGCCAGAATAATTATGAATTCAATCGATCGGGAGATTTTTTTTTTTAAAAAAAAATAAATATATTCAATGAGCAATTTACCTCCTCTTGAGACTCTAGCAAGGAGGCAGCACGGTTTTTCTTTCCTTCTTAAAGTTGTCCCAATCTACCAAGCTCCGTGATGGCTTTAACTCTTAATATAGAGTTACTCTATTGGGTTATACAGATAGAGTTATCTGTATATCCATTAGCTAGTAGCCAAGACGAAGAGAAGATGCTGTCATTTTATGTTTTTCGCCAGACCAGAAAGATGGTCTTTCTTTACATTCAGCATCTCTTCTGAGCTTGTACGGTGGATTTCAGCAGGGATGGGATTCAAAAAGGAGAACAACCGGTTCTCTGTGTGGATGCCGCTTCCGGAAGTCCTGGGCAACAAAAAAATTAGCTACTGGTTCTGCCGAACTGGTGCAAACCAGCTGAATCCCACCACTGGATTTAAGGAAATCTAGCAAGCTGATTTTTGTATTTACGGATTATAATAGTCAATACCCTACCACCGGTTGCTCAAGACTCTGATTCCTTCAAATTTTATATCCCCAACGAACACATTCAGACGCAAATGAAAAAAAAGTTCTTAAAATTGGTAAAACTGTCTTAAAGAGGAAACAAACAAACAAAGAAAAAAAATGAATAATTCTCCTATTGTCTTTTGTAAGAAAAATAAGTTCTGCTGCACCATTAAAAATCCAGAGAAAGCTAGACTCTTATTCTGTCTGATCTGTATCCTCCAGGTTATTTACAAAGCGATAGCTGGTTTTTTTGAGACATCCCTAGTTTTTAATTTGCTTGTTTCTGATGCGGAATTGTAAAAGAAGGTACGCTAAAGGTTTTCAGTACCTTGTTAAGGCACTAATTTCTTGATGTAAGAGGGGGCAGCTAGGCTGCTAGAACGATTAAGGCCAGAGAAAGGAAGGACAGAATCCTTGTGTGTTGTGTTGTTGTGACGGGGGCACCAATACTCTCTTCCAATTGATAAAAAGTCCCTTTATACTGCAACACAATGGGAAAATGCAACAAGGAAGCTTAATCTGGGATAAATCAGGCTGGGGATGATGCATTTGAAGGCTCCCCATGAAAATGAAAGTTGGCTTGCATTCTTACAACAAGCGCATTCAAGCTGCAATCTTTGGTCCTTTGGAGAGCATTTCTGGAGTTATAAGGTGTGTTTGTGTGTGTGTGTGTTAGTTTTGATTTCCTTTCTAAAGTAGGGATGAAAGCTTTACAGGCACATCACTCTCCTTCCCTGCACCACCAGCTTCTAAGGTTGGTTGATCAAATATGGGGCAGTCACATCTGAGCTGCAAAAATGGAGTCAGCCACCAGATGGCAGCAAAGGGTTTGCTGTAACCCAAGGCCACCCTCCTGAGGATCCTTTGCAGATTTGCAGTCCAGGTCTAAAAGCCAAAGAGAGAAGAGAGGCAGGCTGAGAGCAGGGCAACGGGGTCTGCTGAGACTCTCCTTGGACTCTCTCCAAGTCAACCTCAACCCATGGACATATCCAAGAAACTTCTTTGAAAAAAAAAATATAGATATGATTAATAACGTGGGCTGCGGCATTTTTAAACCTCTCAGTCTAGCTTCTAGGATTTTCTACTCCCATCCAAGGTCAGCCAAATATTTCTCTAAGGTGGTGTAGATGCCACCAAGGGCTTGCAGGCGGGAAAAAAATTCTGTATTTTGAGAAAGGAGAGATTAAAAAATCTTTTCTCCCTACTTTTGCCCTGCCAGCAGAGCTTCCTCAGAATTGGATCTTTATCTTTTTCAAAGGAATTTGCAGTTTCCTTCACTTACACATGGCCTAGCCACATGTTCATGAAGGTTCTTTGATCCTTCAAAGAGGCTTCCTTGGGGCTGCAGCCCCTGCAAGAGGAGCAGGTAATGAGGAACATTCCTTTTGTGCACTTACTTTAAGTTGCCTTGTTTTAGCAACCCCCAAGTCAATGGAAAACCCTGGTATCTGGGGAGAAAGATTTAGCTCAGTCTTCTTACACCACACTTTTCCACATTGTTTTTTTTTTCTCTACACAGTTACTTGAACAAGCCACTAACCTAACATCTTTGTCTTTAGGGTTAGATTCTGGATAAATGTTAATTGATTTGGTTGGCTGTTTCAAGTAAGGTTGTGCAGAACTTTTGAAGACGTTACTTTGGAACTACTAAGCCTTTTAAAACAGCCGCCTCTTTGCCCAAATTTCCCACAGCATCGGGAAGACTCCTCAAGGCATGGTGAGAAAAGTCAACGTAGCGTCCATGGTGGTGCGATTGGAACTCTGCCCTTTTGTTATGCATGTGGGGCAGTGAAGATATGGCTTCTGTCACTCGTCCGTGACCACCATATTGAATTTTCTTTAAATCATACCCTGCAGAGTATGTTTCCAGGTAATGCTTTCCACTTCACTGGGGATTGGGGGGTGGATAATCTATGTAACTCCGTGCACGCATGCATATAGCTTCCCAAGCAACCATGATTCTCATGGAGGCGGGAATGGACAATGTAACCATTTTGGGAGGGGGGATAAGCAGCCTTGTACATTTCCCAAAGGATTTGTACATCCGTAGTGTTAAGTAGAAAGGCAAAGGCATCTGCCACGACACTGGAGGTGAAAAAACAAAGAAAGTAGAACACAAACAAAACCCAGGATGATTCTGTAAGAATGACCCTATGAAATATATTGCATTATCTAGGACAGCCTTGAGACAAACAAATTTACCCTTTTAAATCCCTCTAGGCTGATGCCTCCTTCACTAGATTCAACCCAGGGGGTGGGGGGAGGAGGAGAAAAGTATAGCTAGAAACTTGGCAGTAAAGAAGAAGCACAATTATCAGAATATCAGTTCACTTCAATGAGTGTGTAGTTTGACCAAGGCTTCCGTGCTTAAAGTTTCATAGTTAAATCAACCTGGGTTAATCCTGAAATCAACTCGGTTGCCTTTTTGGGTCAGTGGTTTCCACGCCACGAACATGCCAGGCACACGCAAGACCACGATGCTCTTCACCAGGAAGCGCCAGGCACACACGCACAATCGAGGGGAACTTTTAGAAGTGAGTGTACCGACTCCCTCGGAGATTGTACACGTACAGTGTTGGGTAGAAATTGTCACACATGAAAATAAAGTTTCGCGATGGCCCTTGGAGAAGACGTCATCACGGATTCTACTTTCCCCACAGTCCATTTCAACTCTTGAGACCAGGGCCCTGCCCTTGATTTTAAAAAAAAACAAACAAACCAAAAACCTTCATTAAGTGCCTTAAAGTTGACTTGAAATATGTTCGAGCACATTTTGTTTTCAGTCATTCATAAAAGGTATCATATATATGTATATATATGTATATATATACAAAACAGACCCCAGCCAGCGAGGCCTTCTTTTCACAAACCAAGTCATTCAGGAGTTGTTTTTTTTTTTGTTGTTTTAACAGTATTTGTAGAGTGTGCTTTAAAATCCAAAGTCCCAATTCTCAGGCTCGGTTGAGGAGTGTTGTCCTAAAAAGAAAAGGATTTAAAAAGTCACTATTATAAGTTCTTTTACGAGGCAGCAGCCCAAAAGGCTAATACAATCCTGGGTTGGATAAACAAGGCATAGAATCAAAAATCACGTGGAAGGATTAGTATCACTTTATAAATCCTTAGTAAGACCACACAAGGAATACTGCATCCAGGTTTGGTCACCACATTACCAAAAAATAAATAAAAAATGTTGAGACTTTAGAAAAAGTGCAGAGAAGAGCAACTGAGGTGATTAAAGACCTGGAGACAAAAACATATAAAGAACAGGAATTGGGTATGGCCAGTGTAGAGAAAAGAAGGATGAGGGGAGACAGTCTTCCAATATTTGAGGGGCTGCCACAAAGAAGAGGGGGGGTCAGCTTATTTTCCAAAGCACCACAAAGGCAAAGAAAAGAAACAGAAGAGAACAAGGTCTTGATTTCACGGTAGAGAAACATTGCAGTGGGACACAAGTGAGCATGTTCCTAACAGGAATATGACTACTGAACCAATAACCAAGGAAAGGGTAAGGATGCCCTGAGGAGTGCTTGCCCTCCTCCCCATGATCAAAGCAAGGTTCAATGCCAGACAATGCCAGAAGAGATTGAACAACCATTTGTCAGAATGGTGTAGGCTCTACTACTTGAGCAGAGGTTGGAGTATAAGACCTCCAAAGTTCCTTCCAACTCTGTTATTCTGTTAATTCATCAGCCAGATTTTTGAGGGTCTCAGAGTAATCCTAAGTGGGAAGTCAAGGGAAGCTGAGATTTCACATCAAGATAGTCTGGTTTCTCCCCCGCATTAAAACGACAAAGCGTTAGATGATGTGAGTGGACCAAGATGCCTACAAAATGGTCAATGTCTATGCTGCTGTTACTCGGTTTTCTAGACAGCACAGCAACTGTTGGCTGAGGCAGAGAAAGGAGCTGGGTGTTGTTGTGCTGGGGAAAGCAGGAAGGGTGTGCGTGGTCATCCGTGGCAGTAAAGCAGCATGAAGCTGCCTAATGCACAAGAAGGAGGAGTTGGAGGAGGAGGAGGAGGAGGTGTAGCAGAAGTGGGAAAAAGTGGAGTAGAGAACAGCAAACACTAGACTTGTTTGTATATGTGTGTTGCATAACGACCTGAATTGTCATACGGGCTCTCTTGGGTTTTCAAACCCATTCACTTGGGTGTACATTTCTCCAGTGTCAGAACAGAGCTGGAAGGGAGACCCTAGACCATTTCAGACAGGTGGCTATCCAGGCTCTTCTTAAAGGCCTCCACTGACGAAGCAACCACAACTTCTGAAGCTGTTCCACTGGTTAATTGTCCTCACTGTTAGGAAGTTTCTCCTTAATTCCAGGTTGCTTCTCTCCTTGATTAGTTTCCATCCGTTGCTTCTTGTCCTGCCTTCAGGTGCTTTGGAAAATAGCTTGACTCTCTCTTCTTTGTGGCAACCCCTGAGATACTGGAAGACTGCTATCATGTCGCCCCTCGTCCTTCTCTTTGTTAGACTGGATATACCCAATCCTTGCAACTGTTCTTCGTGTGTTTTAGTCCCCAGTCTCTTAACCATGAAATTCGTGCTTCCCTTGTTCCTTGTTCAAGGAACACTGAAATTGTCCGTGCATTCTGATTTCTGAAGATGATTTGCCAGCCAGCCCTCAAAACACATGCTGCAAATGGTCTACAGGCAAAACTTATGTCTGCGCAGACCCTGTTGTCGTTGTTCCCTTTCTGCGAAAAATGCCCTAAAAGCAGGCCAAATCCACAGGGTCTGTTTGTGCTTTAAACAGAATTAAATCCAGTTAGTACAAAGCAGACCTCTAATCCCTGGATAATTCAGAACTTCTTCCATTGGATTGGTCCCAGGTTGAGAAAAGATGAAGATGGGGGTCCTGTACTAAATCCTGAGATGGTAAAATGAAAAGAATGTTTCTTTGCTGTCCCAAGTTAAAATCCACATGCACCAATATGAACACTTTGTAAGTACTCCGAATTAGACATTTAAATACTTTTTTTACTGTCTTAATGTTTTTTACTGTTTTTTTTATTGCTCTGGCTGTTTTAAAAACTTTTTCAAAATTTAATTGTATTACATCTGTTTTGAATCACGAGCTGCCCGCAGTTGTTTGCTGAGGTGGGCGGCTGCAGAAATCCATCAAATAAATAAATAAATACTCTCTGGAAACCTTAAAATGAGAAAAAGCTTAACTCGGCCTTTGGTCTGCTGTGCAAGGAGTTTTTCACGTAGGAAAAGATTAAAACTGGTGTCTGAAGGGGGATGAAAAGCCAGGTAGCGACTACCAACTTTGGACTGAAAGATGATTTTGACCCGTGTAAAAAAAGGGGGGCAGGGCTTTGGCCCCATCTTGGTGGCCACCATCTCAACCTCTGTCCATATTCCTGAGGACCTCCTGATTTAAGTAGTCTTCTGTCCCTTCTCAATGAAGAAGCATACTTTACTTCTTTGCTCCATACTTAGAAAGTTGTGAGGAAGGTTGCAGCTTTGTGTTAGCCGAGGACGGTTGGTGGCTTGGCAGCTAGAAGAACTAGGAGGCAAGTCTTTATTTGAATGTTCCCCCCTCTCTTTTTGGGCAAACAGGACAATACTCATGCAATTTGCTTTTTGTTTTTTCCAGAGAATGAGAAGCTTTACTCTGCATAATGGCTAAGTAACCTTTTTTGGCTTTGTTCCAGCAACATCTTGGCTTCCCACTTAACCATTTTTAACCCGTAGTCATGGTTACCTGAGAGTCTTCCAGCTGTCTTTCTCCATGTGATTTTCTGGACCTTCACTTTCAAACGAGGCAATAAACAAAGCTGGAGAAGCAGGAGGAAAAAGAAAGAACAGGGGGTCAGGACTATTGATCAGTTTGTGATGATAATGGTGTCAGAAATGTGTCGTTTGTGGCTAGATAGATAGATGATAGACAGACAGACACAGAAAGTTAGAGAGGGATGATAGAGAAAGGGATAGACAGAGAGATGAGAGAGAGAGAAGGGATAATGAGATAGATAGATAGATAGATAGATAGATAGATAGATAGATAGATAGATGATAGAAATAGACAGAAATAGATAGATAGATAGATAGATACATGATAGACAGACAGACAGACAGATAGACAGATAGACATGAGACAGATGAGATAGATAGATAGATAGATAGATAGATAGATACACAGACAGATAGACATGAGACAGACAGATGAGATAGATGAGATAGATAGACAGATAGATAGATAGATGATAGAAATAGATATAGATAGATAGATAAATAGATAGATAGATAGATAGATAGATGATAGACAGACAGATAGACAGACAGATGATTTAGATAGACAGATAGATAGATAGATAGATAGATAGATAGATAGATAGATAGATAGATAGATAGATGATAGAGAGATAGACAGATAGATAGACAGACAGACACAGACAGAAATATGGAAAGAGAGATGATAGAGAGAGGGATAGAGAGAGAGATGATAGAGTGAGATTAAGGGAGATAGACAGACAGACAGACAGAGACACAGGACACAGACAGACACACATCATTCTATCAAATGTGGTTAGTTTGGTTCCTCATTGACCCCAATCCTACTTCTCTACAATGAGATTATGGTCAACAGATTCATTGTACACATTCTTCTAACAGTTGTAGGAAACTATATTTCTTTTTTCTTTTTTTAAGAATAACCCCCATCTCCCCTGCCCCAAAGTCTCACCTTCTTCACTGTAAATGGGTGCCGTGAGTAGATAGCTCTGAATCTTCCTGTCCTTTTCAAAAGGACATTCCACCTGTTTCCACGTGACAAAGTCATGGATTTGCCTTGAAATTTCCCAGAATTTCTGCAGGATAAAATGGATGGAGATAAGTAATTGCAGTACCACGGAATCCAAAGAATCACTCAACGTTAAAGCATCTCTAAGAGATGGCTGCTTGCCCAGCTTCTTCTGGAAGTCCTCTACCGTAGAAAGTTCCCTGATCATCTCTGTTGCTCTTCTCTGCACTCTTTCTAGAGTCTCAACATCTTTTTTACATCGTGGTGACCAAAACTGGATGCCGTATTCCAAGTGTGGCCTTATCAAGGCATTGTAAAGTGGTATTAACACATCACGTGATCTTGATTCTCTCCCTCTGTTAATGCAGCCTAGCACTGTGTTGCCTTTTTGGCAGCTGCAGCACACAGCTGGTTCCTATTTAAATGATTGTCCACTAAGACTCCGAGATCCCTCTCACAGTTACTACTATTGAGCAAGGTACCACCTATACTGCACCTGTGCATTTGGTTTTTCTTGCCTAAATGTAGAACCTCACTTTTTTCACCACTGAATTTCCTTTTGTTAGATGCAGTGTTTCTCAACCTTGACAATTTTAAGGCATGTGGACTTCAACTCCCAGAATTCCACATGCAATGCTGGCTGTGGAATTCTGGGAGTCGAAGTCCACATGCCTTAAAATTGTCAAGGTTGAGAAACACTGTGTTAGAGAGTGCCCAGTGTATAAGTCTGTGAAGATCCTCCTCTATCTTAAGCCTGTCTTCTGGAGGGTTGGCTACTCCTGCCATCTTACAACTAGTTCTTTTTCTGCATAAATAAATCTGAAATGTATGTTCCATGCAGAGTAGCTAGGTAGAACAAAGACTTGAATTTTAAATGTTGATATGCATGCCTAGAATTATAGTTTCTAAATGCCGTCATTTCCACACGTAGCCTTGAGGCTTAACTCAAGCAAATGTATCCCTGAGAATAGTAATGAAAACAAAACAAGTATAAAAGCAGTGAATTGGCCATTATTTTTTAGGTAGCACAGTATTTCCCCCTCCCCTTTAACCAGGACATTTGTAAAAAGTTGCAACGTTCATCCCATTTCTTGCACACTGTGTGCATCTATTGTACATCGTAAAACATTGCTTACCTTGAAGTTGATTTGTCCGTTCGGCAAGTGATTGGTGTGTATCTTATGCAGGAAGTAGATATCTTTAATGAAAAGATTGAAAACAGGGATGACAATTTTCTCCCGGCTGCTGTGTGCTGTCTGAGATCTCTGGGCTGCCCCTTGAAGAGCCGTCCGATAATTACAAAAGTTGCTTGATGGATCCATGTGATGCTGTTTCCAAAGAACGATAAGAAGCAATGGCTTAGTGTCTGTGGAGATGCTCAGTCATCCGGGTCAGGGTTGACCCAGAGGTGCTTTTTTTTTTTCAAAAAGGCAACTGGACTTTGGTTTTCCATGAAGACATTTCGCTTCTCATCCAGGACGCTTCTTCAGTTCTGCCTGAATGGTGGAGGATGGAAGGATTTATATTCCTTGCAGTCTTCTGGTCATTAGCCCTCTCTATGAGAGTCGTTGAGGCCACTTGGAGGTTTATCTGTGTCCTCGGGGTCACCCGATTAGTGCAAATGGGTGTGGAACCTTCTTGGAACTGCTGAAAGGATTGTAGTCAACGCTGCTAACATCGGATGTTTTGCTTTGACAACATATGGAGATGCACCCAGTTTCCTTCTTATGTTTTACTCTTAGAATTAGAGTTAGAATTAGATGATACTGGGAGGGGGAGGAGGAGGAATGTGCATGGGAGTTTAGTTAGACATAGCAATACTGTAACTAGTGTGAGAACCAAGGTTTTTGAAATAAGAGATGATAAGAATTGGCGGGTTGGAGAACTGGAGGGAAAGTCTGCATTTCAAACCAATTGGAGAATGTGATTTAGGACTATAAATTAGGGGAGGGGAATTCATATTTTGGCTTTGGCTATGTGCCGATGCTATGCTTCTCGAATAAAAGATTCTTTAAGGTAAACAATGCCTCAAAGTTCTTTGAAGAGTTTCATCCGTCGGAACCATGACAATTGTGTTGTAAACAGGAGATAAGTTGTGTTGTACCTTCCCCCTTCTGTTGAGAGAAGGCTGTTTAATTTTGACATAGATTGCCTCTTTGATCCCTCTAGTGTGGTCTCAACAACCCTCCGAAAGTGTGCTAATGACGAGATGACCTGCAAGGAATATAAGTCCTTCCATCTTCCAGTCAGAAATGAAGAAGCTTCTTGGATGAGAAGTGAAGTACCTTCAAGGAAAAAAGCAAAGTCCAGCTGCTTTTTGAAAAAGAGATGGGACAAGTAATGGCTTGTTAGGAGACGCTTGAGTGCAAGTCCTTGTATCATTTACTTGAATCAAGTTACAAAAATCAGGAGGGTGCAAGTGACTACATTTCCTGGGGACCCAATTTCTCCGGGTTAGGACACTGAGACACCTCCTGTTACTTATAAAATGCAAAAATAAATACAGTCCTTTTGAAAGGAGAGCATGTTACTGTCAGATGCTTCGGCAGAGTCTAAAACTAAAAGCGATTCCTGCAGAATTGTCTTTAACAAGATTTATAGAGATAGATACAGTGGTGAGACCAGTTCTGTTACTGGATGCAGGCCTGGGCCTCCGAGACCTAGAACGGTCTTCCGAAAGTGGCATCCACGCACTTCCGGTGGGCCGTTCTAGGCCTGGGAGGTCTCCTCCAAAACTCCGAGGCCTAGACTGGACTTCCGGAAGCACTGTGCATTAAGCCAGTTCTCTGAACTCAGCAAAATTCTATTCTATTCTATTCTATTCTATTCTATTCTATTCTATTCTATTCTATTCTACTCTACTCTATTCTTTTTTTATTTACATATACATATACCATGATATTTATCAGATGTTAACATACATTCTTTTTACATTCATATATAAGATACTTTTAATAAAATGAAATAAATACATACACATGACTTTTGGTGTTGCTTGCCCATTTCCCCTTTCACTGTATCCATACTCCTTCTTCTCTACCTTCTTTCTCCCTTTCTTCTCTTCCCTACTTCCCTCTTCTTCCTCTCCTCTTCTCTTTCCTTCACCACTCTCCTCCCACTTCTCCCCACTTCTCTTCTTCTCCTCCAACCTTCCTATTTCCTTCTCCCCTCCTTTACTCTTTTCTCTCTCCTCTCCTTTCTTCCCTCTCATCCCTCTTCAGATACAATTCAGGGGTAATGTCCGAGCAACTCCTCTCTCCAAATTTCCCTGTCTGTATTATATACAATAAGATTAATTTTCTCTTATATTAATACTTATATTTATCTAACCTTCTCGATATATACTTCTATAAATATTTATACAACCTCCAGTTATTCAATACTGTGTTGCCTGGGTCTATTCTACTCTACTCTACTCTACTCTACTCTACTCTACTCTACTCTACTCTACTGACATCCTAACTTCTTGAGAAGAACTGAATGCCTAGGAAGGCCAGCACCCGCTAAACAACTGGCAGCTGTGGTTTCACAGGATTGTATATGTAATCATAATCCTTTTTATTTCCAGTTTTTGTTTGAGATGGCTTGCTTTTGCTAAATTCTGAATATAATTCCCCACCAGATGGCAGGCTTCAATGAGAGATGAAGAAAAGAAATGAAAAAATAATATAGAAGGTGGATTAGGAGTGGTCATCCCCTTGCCTTTCAAATACTATCAGCAGAAATATTGTTACAGGTGGAAAATGGAAGATGGAAGGTTTCTATCTTCAGAATGACAAAAATATGTAAAAGGAAAAAAATGTACTGCACTTAACATATTGAGAAAGGCAGAGTGCTGTATTTTCTGCAGTGCAAACCTGCTTGAATGCCCGGGGACAAATGAGGAAATTCTTTAAATCGAGTTTGATTGAAATTTGATTGATTTTAAGATTTGGGAGGAAAAAGCTGATTTGTTACTATTTTCATGCTTGCCCTGTTTTTCTCTCGAACTATGAAATACGGTTAAGCCCACTTCTTGTGCTGCTGTATTCTGGCTGGTCACTGTTTTTTGTTTTTTTTTTAATGAAAACAATCCTTTTGAGTAAAAAAAAAAAATGTTGACAGGATGCAGCAAGGTGTGAAATGCTTACCTCTAAAACATCAAATTTGGCCGTTTTCACTTTGGACCATGTTTTCTTTAGCCGGGCAACAGGACTCAAGTTCATGCCAGCTGAAAGAAAGAAAGAAAGAAAGAAAGAAAGAAAGAAAGAAAGAAAGAAAGAAAGAAAGAAAGAAAGAAAGAAAGAGGGAGGGAGGGAGGGAGGGAGGGAGGAGAAAGAAAGAAAGAAAGGGAGAGAGAGAAAAGAGAAAGAAAGAAAGAAATGAAGAGAGAAAGAAAGAAGAGAGGGGGAGAGAGAGAAAGAAAGAAAAAAGAAAGGAAAGAAAGAAGAAAGAAAAAAGAAAGAGAAAGAAAGAGAAAGAAAGAGAAAGGGGGAGAGAGAGAAAAAGAAAGAAAGAAAGAAAGAAAGAAAGAAAGAAAGAAAGAAAGAAAGAAAGAAAGAAAGAAGAATCCTTTTATAAGTTGTTGGTTTTTTTTTTGATAAATCTGCTTTTCCACCTAACAGTGTCTTCCTGGCTTTCCTTCTTGGTTGAGTGCGTCACCATCCCTTTTACCCTGACAGTAACTTTTGTCTCTGAATTCCTGCGTTGAGCAAATCCTGTTCAAACCCAAGCTTTTACAACTATGGGGAAACAAGGGTTGTGTACACACATTAATACCTGAGTAGGGCACAGCGGGCAAGAAACAAGGGGGGGGGAGTTGTGCTCAAAGGAAAGTTCACCTGAGATAAAGAACTGTTTGTTTTGCTCCCAAATTAGTTACTGGGAACTCTCAACCCAAGTGAGTTATTGGGAAAATATTTGCACACAGATGATCTGTAAAAAAAAAAAAAAAAAAAGGACTAACTTGGCACACTCAACACCAAGAGGAAGGCACTAATATCAGCTGTGCCATGCTGCCCGATTTAATATATCACGCAGATCTTTCTTTTAAGGTTTAAAAAATCTTTAAACAGAGCTGTAATCCCCAGCTTGGACCGACAATTGCTTTTCCCACTTGTTTCCACCTTCTCCCCTGTTACTAAAAGAAGCAATTAGTTCCTGGTAGTTTTCTGATGCCTGCAAAAACAGCTGGCTGCATTCCCCCATTTTAGGTATATATGAAGTTCTTCATTTAAGCAGGACTCCAATCCTTTGAAAGGATCCTAGTTGAAAGGACAAATGGCTGTCCAGTCTCTTCTTAAAAACCTCCAGTGATGGAGCACCCACAGCATCTGAAGGCAAGCCCTTCCACTGGTTAATTGTTCTCATTGTCAGGAAATGTCTCCTTATTTCTAGGTTGAATCTCTCTTTAACAAGCATCCATCCATTGTTTCTTGTCCTGTCTTCTGATGCTTTGGTAAATAGGTTGATCCCCCCTCTTCTTTGTGGCAGCCCCTCAAATATTGGAAGACTGCTATCAAGCTACCCCATCCCGCCCCCAGTCTTTCTCTTCATGAGACTAAACATATCCAGTTCCTGCATTCATTCATCATAGGTGTCAACCTTCACTTCTCCAATCATCTTTGTTGGTCTCTCTCAGTTTGTGAAATGTGCATGTTCACATCTGTGTGAGAGAGAACGGTTGGCGTGCATGCATGGGGATCATCACATCGGATCAGTTAATAATGGGCAGAGCAATTAATATTGGCAGCAGAGCACCCTGACGTACTAAATTGCTGGCTTGCATTCTCAGGCCAAGTTTTTAAATCTACTCAACTCCCGTTCTGTTGAGGCTGTCACACCCAGAGACCTTACTCACAAATAATAGCCATCATGGAGTTGAAATTTCCAATGTTGAAGCATTCTCTTGCCACGTCAATGAAAAATTCCATGATTCTCGTTCTCTGCTTTTTCTTCACCACCTGAAACATTACAAAGAGGTTCAGTGAGAAGAGGGGAATGGTACTAACGCCACAGAAGTATTAAACTCATTGCAGAGCAGACTACATTGTTGGAAGATCCTCAGGATGAATTCTGTTTTTCATGGAACTTTTCAGGGTGAGGCAGTGAGTTGAGTTCCTCCTCTGTTTTTTTTTTTTTTAGGAGATCACCAAAATCCTGCATGTTGAGTTGTTAGATATTAAATGTGATCCCTTTGCTTTAGGTATTCAGGGTCTTAAGTGCTTCTGAATGAGCAAGAATTTAAATAATTTCCTTCTAATCAGGACAAGGCATGCATGAAAAAAAATGCCTCTGGTGAGCTAAATACTGAAAAGTACCGTATTTAAATTTTCTAGCCTGAAAGATAGAAACTGCCAAACTACGTTGTCCTGAAGAGAACTGCTTCTAAAAAGAGAAGACTGTTTTGACCCTGTAGGGTTTGATGATGACACTGAGCAGTTATAATCCACCTTTTTAAGTGTCCTACTTGATGCAGAATGTATCCTAGCCTAAAAGAAAATATTCCTCACTTCAAATATGTAAATAAAGGAGACCAATAAGCTGAAAAGCTGATTTGATTCGACTTAATTACAACCGCTGTTGAATTTAGGTTCGGATTATCTCCTGATTACATATTTTATTTCACAAATCCCACACGGACTTTGAGATATTTCCTCCCAACAATGCTCCTGGGTCAATAATGACAATTATGCTCGATGTTTTTCTGCATAAAATATGGGCAATCAGCCCAGAGTGAGCCAAAGGTGCATGCATTTCATATCTCTACTTGACCGTTTGGCATTTCTGATATCCAGAGACTGTCCAAATTAATCAACATGATGCAGGGACAACAAACTCTTAATTTTGGGGGGGGGTTGTTTGGGTTTTGACGATTAGGATTTATGCGGTGGGTGTTAAGAGCCAAGGCAAAGTTCTGCTGCCTCATCTGGATCCAAAGCAACAAACAGCAAGGAAGTTGTGCTGTGTGTCACGCTAATGACATTTCGCTCTGAATCTCAAAATGTTCTCCCTCCGTGGTTCCCTGTTGATGTTGAAAAGTAGAGGAGATAAAACTCAACCTTGGGGGTTGAGCTGAAGCTGACTCTTGTTCCCTTTTTGCCTCTTGCGGGAGCTAAAATCTCACAAAGAAGGCGCTTTTGCCCATTGCAGAGGCATTCAATGGGTGTGATATCATTGTGAATTTATGGGTGTGAGAACCTGGTGGTTATGTCAAAGGGACTCAAACTCACAGAGGTAACCGTCAACCATCAATCAATCATCCGTACTTCTGAGCCTTGGGGAGGGGCAGAGAAAGGAACAAGTGCCTTAATATCTAGCCTGGTGCCATGTTCTCGCAATGGACGTCTTTGAATAAATGGACGCCAGGTACAAACAAAATGCGAAGGGTTCAAAGCAGGATCATAAAAACGGGCAGCTATAAAAATCAAATAAATAAAAAATAAAGAACAATACCGAGGCACAATGACCGGGGGGGGGGGAGAACAAATTCCTCCTAGCGCTTCCATTTCTGTTGATTAGGCAGAGCTTTGGAAAAGAGGCACAGATTATTCAAAAATGGAAAACTATTTTTAAAGTTGATCTCTGAAAATGGCTTTAGCCAAACAAGCTCCTTGGTCACTATGGGAACTAAATCATCCTGTGCCAAAATACTGTGTATATCCTAACTAGGAGATCTGTGGTCTTGCTTCAGCGTTATGGTGCATTCATATGATCAGACACCCTCTGACAGAATATTGTCGTATTCTTACATGTACTGTTTGATAACCCAGTCTGGACATTTCCTGTCCCCCCTTTAGTGGAGTTTTTAGGGGGAGAGGTGAGAAAGGATATTTCAAATCAGCTATGATGCCTGATCACTCACCCAAAGTCACTGAGCTGCTTGCACTCAGCTCCCTGCCTTAAGCAGGATTCGATCTCATAGTCTCCCAGTTTCATCTTGGTAGTCCCAAAGGTGTTTTTTTTTTTTTCCCAGAGGCAACTGGACTTATCTTGTGTTTCTTTTGAAGACGTTTCACTTCTCACCCAAGAAGCTTCTTCAGCTCTGACTGAATGGTGGGGAATGGAAGGATTTATACTCCTTGCAGACAGCTGGTCATTTGCCTTCTTTTAGAGAATCCTTGAGGCCACCTGGAGGTTTACCTGTGTCCTCAGGGTCACCTGAGTGGTGCAAATGTTTGGCTGCAGGATGTTTTCTGCCTTGGGTCCCTTCCCTGTGGAAGGCAGGCGCAAGGCTGTTGGGGATGAGTCTATGCTGTCTGCATCTCTAACTGAAGCACAAATGGTTCCTGAAGTTTTCGACAGTAAAGAACCCAGGGCAGAAAACATCCTGCAGCCAAGAACACTCCACACCCATTTGCACTACTCAGGTGACCCTGAGGACACAGGTAAACCTCCAGGTGGCTTAATGACTCTCTGTTGTTGTTAGTTGCAAAGTTATGTCTGACCCATCGCGACCCCATGGACAACATTCCTCCAGGTCTTCCTGTCCTCTGCCATCTTCTGGAGTCCATTGAAGCTCACGGCTACTGCTTCAGTGACTCCATCCAGCCACTTCATTCTCTGTCGTCCCCTTCTTCTATTGCCCTCAATCTTCCCCAGCATCAGGCTCTTTTCCAGTGAGTCCTTCCTTCTCATTAGGTGGTCAAAGTACTTGAGTTTCAACTTCAGGATCTGGCCTTCTAAAGAGCAGTCGGGGTTGATCTCCTCTAGGACTGACCGGTTTGATTGCCTTGCAGTCCAGGGGACTCGCAGGAATTGGCTACCCTCAAAACAGAGGCATTTGAACTGGTGAGTAGCACGTCCATTTCCCCCCCCCCCACCAAGTTTGTTTCTCCTGTGGATACTTGCCTTACAAATCTCTGTCGCCACCAACATGCTGAGGCAGTTAAACCAATTGTCGTAGGCTTCCAGATTGTAAGTCTTCGTCACATCACTTCGGCACTGAAAAATTAAACACCTGCTTTTAGACCTGCTCAGGACGCCGCTTCCAATAAAGTCATCAACCCTTCTACACGAGTAAACCCAGCTTGGATTTATATGGGATGTCTTTAAAATAAAAATAAAAATGGATGTTTCCTAAGTCGCAAACTTCTTTGAAGAGGTTCTGAGTGTGAGAAGCAGCGATAGGATTTTCACAGTCCAAATAAATGCGTACCCTATCTCTAATAAGGAGTCCACGACTTACAAAAATTCATTTAGTGACCGTTTGAAGTTACAACAGCACTGAAAAGAGGGATGTGACTGTTTTTTCACACTTCATCATGACCGTGGCAGCATTCCCATGGCCACTTGATCAAATTTCGGATGCTTGGCAACCGACTCATATTTACGATGGTTGCGGTGTCTCCCGGGATCACGCGATCCCCTTTTTTTTGCGATCTTCTGACAAGCAAAGTCAACGGAGAAGCCCGGATTCGCTTAAAAACCATGTTGCTAACTTAACCACTGCAGTGATTTGCGTAACAACTGCAGCAAGAAAGGTCATAAAATGGGGTGCAACAGAAATTTTGGGCTGAGTTGTGGAGTGGTTCCTAAGTCACGAACCACCCGCCTTGCTTTAGTAATTTTGTTGGCAGAGTTCCATCTAACTAGAAAAATATTTCTGAATTTTTGGCACATGTAAGCTGTGTTGTTGGCCCCTTTTAAACAAAGGATGGCATGTTCTGAGTGGCAAAGCTTTGAAAAATGCAAAAATATTCCAGCGTTGTGGGAGGCTTTTGCTAACAAAACTTGTCACATTAAAAAAAAAAAACACCCGGAGTCTCTTTCTGAAATTCTGAACTCTTAGTACAAGATATATATGGCCATGACTGGGGATTGTTGGTTAATCTTTCTATTTCCCACGTCTGCTTCGTTCAGATTTTGAAATTTACCTTGTGGTTATCCAAGGAGTCCATGTGGCTGACTATTTGCATGAGATCTTCTGGGTAAATGTTGCTTACCCTTTCCTGAAAAAACAGAAAAGACGATCAACATTACAGAGGTGTAATGTTTCTGTTGCTCCCCTCTTGCAGGAGGTTTAGAAGTATTTCTAGCAGGACGACCAGATTCTACAACAGCTTTGTTCCCTATGCCGTCCGTCTGGTAAACTCGCTATATAGATCTATACAGCCGAACTAGACTGTGCTGTTTGTCTGGGCCACATACAGTATATGTGGGTATATGCATGATTTTGTCATGTTTCTACAGTGCATATTGGAGGTAGTTACCCTTTGAGAGCTGTATGCAATGAAATCTCATTTTAATGTATGTTGATTAATGTACATTTAAAGTGACAATACAGTTATTCTATTCTATTCTATTCTATTCTATTCTATTCTATTCTATTCTATTCTATTCTATTCTATTCTACATACTCTATTCTACATCCTATCTCATCCTATCCCATCCCATCCCATCCCATCCCATCCCATCCCATCCCATCCCATCCCATCCCATCCCATCCTATTCTATTCTATTCTATTCTATTCTATTCTATTCTATTCTATTCTATTCTATTCTATTCTACATACTCTATTCATCCCATCCCATCCCATCCCATCCCATCCCATCCCATCCCATCCCATCCCATCCCATCCCATCCCATCCTATTCTATTCTATTCTATTCTATTCTATTCTATTCTATTCTATTCTATTCTATTCTATTCTATTCTATTCTATTCTATTCTATTCTATTTAAAGAAGACACGGGTGTAAGGTGTTCTTTTCATCCCAGTGCATGCAATTACTTGGAACAAAACATTTTTAAAAAATGAACATTTTTCTTAGTTTCATTGGTTCATCTGTCTTTCTTGTTCTTATACATACTCGAGATATACAGAGCTAGCAAGTGAAAGTTACCCACCGTTGGTATTTTTAGTTCTGCCATTCTCTGGGCTTGTCCATCATCTTCCTCTTCTCTTTAGATGGTCTTTATAAAACAGGGGCACAGTTGCAATGTCACGAAACAAAGGAAGGACAAGGAAGGGCTCACTCACCAGTTCAATATGTGTTAGTTGCTGCGCGAGGACCAGCGGGTCACAGCAAACACTCAGAATGTCCTTCTGGGATGATTGTGGCTTTGTTTTAAGGATTGGGCCTTTGTCCATCCCCGGTTGACGAAACTTCTCCCGGATTTCTTGGTATTGATTACGGGCAGCGAGAGCCATCAGAAGCTCTTGCGTCATCTGGCTGATGATCTTCTTGACCGTCCCATTTTCCTAATCCATAAAAATACAAGAGTGTTTCTTGCTGGGTGAGGAGAGGTAAATCATTCTGGGCAGTGCTCTTGATATAATCCCTTGTCAACGCAACTAAGGATTGTATGGGCTTTTTTTGGCTGCCGCCGCCCCCTGCTGACTCATATTTAACTGATTGTCCACCAAGACTCCAAGATCCCTCTCACAGTTACTGCTATTAAGCCAGGTTCCCCCCCCATATTTAAGTGATTGTCTGCTAAGACTTCAAGATCCCTCTCATAGTTACTGCTATTAAGCCAGGTTCCCCCCCATTTTTTACTGATTGTCTGCTAAGACTTCAAGATCCCTCTAATAGTTACTGCTATTAAGCCAGGTTTCCCCCCATTTTTAACTGATTGTCTGCTAAGACTTCAAGATCCCTTTCATAGTTACTCCTATTAAGCCAGGTTTCCCCCCCATATTTAACTGATTGTCCGCCAAGACTCCAAGATCCCTCTCACAGTTATTGCTATCAAGCCAGGTTTCACCCAATCTATATGTGTACTTTTGGTTGATGATGAGTTTAGAATTCAGTTTCAAGCAAATTAAATTTTCTGCCAAATTTGCTTAAGATTCTCTGGTAAATGAAACCTCCCCCCACTCATCTATGGGTTTTCCTCACTGATGAACTGTTCCAAGGCTACACAGTTATTGCTCACATTTTCCCCTGACTTAAGGACTAGTGCTGCATTATATTTATAGCTGCATTCTACAAGGCTCTTGCTGCCAGTCTTTCCTTTATACAGAGTAGACCTCCACTTACGACTACAATTCAGCCCAACATTTATGTTGCGAACGGAGACATTTGTTCCGTGAATTTTGCCCTATTTTACGATCTTTCTTGCCACAGTTAGTAACACAGCTGTTTAAGTGGACCTGGCTTCCCCACTGACCTAAGGAACTGGCCAGTCCCAGGTAGGATGGTAATGAAAGTGTTGAAAGAAAAATCTTCATCAGGGTCCAGTCCAAGCCGGGAATAAACAAAATGGAGACTGCTTTAGAAAGAAAGTTGTCGTTTATTGAAGAGCAGAGCCAGACAGAAATGTGGCTCTGGGAAAGCTGACCATATGTAGCTGGGAGTGGTGGATTTTTATACCTTCCTGGGCTTTTGTGTTTGAGGTTGTTTCCTATTCCTGTGGCATGAACTTTGACCTGAGCTTTTTAGCATGTCCTGTTGGTATTCTAACGGTGGTGGGTTAATCGTATTATGTCCTAAAGATCATGTCTTTAGAGTTTGGGTGGGGTATGTAGATTTTAGGGGTCTTTGACTTTCTAATCTCATCAGCTTCTAGCTTCCTGGCTCCAACTTTCCTGAATGGATTATCAAATCTGCATTTCTATAGACCTGACCTCTGCCTAGTTTCTGCTTGAGGCTATTAAGAAAAAACGGGCCTGCTTTTCTGCCTTTAAGATCCTTTGGGCAAATATAATATTCTATTTTTTAATCTTCCCAAAATATTTCTTTCTCTGGGGAGGAGGGTGCTGTCCTCCCACAAAAAAAAAACCTTTCCACATCAAAGTGTTTAATATTTTTTTTTTAAAAAACTTTCACTGTTCAAACTGGTTATCGGTGTAGTAGGAAGTCCTGCCACAGGTATTTCCCACCTTCCATCTTGGAGAAAAACTCTAGCTTCCTAATTAGGTCCAACAGTTATGGCAGTGTCGAGGTGGTGCAGCAGTTAGAGTGCAGTACTGCAGGCCACTTTAGCTGACTGTGTTCAGCAGGTCAGCGGTTCAAATCTCACCGGCTCAAGGTTGACTCAGCCTTCCATCCTTCCGGGGTAGGTAAAATGAGGACCCAGATTGTTGGGGGCAATGTAAATATATATATACATTGCTTACTGGTGTACACCGCTTAGAGAGTTCTTGCACTTAAAGCGGTATATAAGTCTCATAAAATAAATAAATAACTGGAGGATTAAGGTAAATTCTCCTTGATGATGTAGATGCTAAACTCTTTTTGCAACTTAATTGGCTTCTCAAAAACCTGCTTAATGAACGTTGGTTAAACTTCTGCATCCTGCCTGCGTAGGCGTGGATGCTTCTTGTGGTTAAGAGACTGTGTTCAGAAGTCAGACTTGAAAGAACAAGCCAAAACAATAATGTGCTTCCTTGTTCCTAAAATTTCAGGCATGTGTGCAATTTTTTGGGCCCATTAGATAGGAAGAACCACACAACAGTAACAATAGAATCTCTTCGTGTCATGCTAGACCAGTGGTGGCGAACCCATGGCACGCGTGCCAGAGGCAGCACTCAGAGTCCTCTCTGTGGGCACATGCGCCATGCCCCAGAGATAGAAACTGTCCCTCTTTAACCAGCCACCTGCTAACTCACCGAGGTCCCATGTGGCCAAATGCATCCCGGCATGGCTGGTTTCTCTCCCCCCCATCCCATCCCTCATGGCCTCGCATGCTCTCCTTTTCCTGGGCACGACCCACTACATCGCCTCCTCAGCTGTCGGCCATCTGTCCAGCTCAGAGGTGGCTTCTCTGAACTACTGGTGGTGGCTGCGGAGTCCCAGAGTGCAGCGGTTGAGGGGCCGGCAGGATGTGGCTGCTGAAGGATACCATCAGCCCCCATGTACTCGCTGGCCTCTGTGTGCGGGGGCCAATGATGTCAGGCAGGAGCCACCCCAGCCCCTGCCTTGCCTTGCCTCACCCTGCAGGACGAGCCCACCTTTGCCACACCCACCAAGTCTGCCATAACCACCACAGCCACGCCTCCTCAGTGGGCCATGCCCACTGGCATCCGGCGATAAATAAGTGGGTTTTGGGTTGCAGTTTGGGCACTCGGTCTCTAAAAGGTTCACCATCATTGTGGCGAATATATATATTCATCACACAGCCCATTACCCAGGTCATTACAACACAAAAGACTAATGGACACAGAGCCAGCACCTCAGCTACTCAGGATGTTACAAAACGGCTGAACAATCCACAAACAATAACTCCAACACAGCCAACCAACCCACCTACAGCAACTAAGCCAGCACTCCATACCCCCCCCCCCAATATATATAGAGATATGGCAGCTCCAATCACACTTTGCTCGCACAAGCATGAAGCTGAAGACCCCAGTCTGAGTGAGACCTTGTCAAAATGTCGCCAAGATACTCTCAATCTTATATGGGAAAAGACCTGAATACGCCAAGACCTGCATACCTGTACCTGTGAAAATCTACGATTTTCCAAGAAAAGGAAAGACTGTTAAAAGCCCTTTAGAAATAGCTCGGTATTTTTTTTTTAATCCAAGTATATAAATGTAAAGGAATGGCAAATGACTATTGGGAGACACATGCATGGTTTTGTACCAGAGGTGTCCAACTGTGGCAACTTTAAGACCTGTGGACTACAACTCCCAGCATTCCCCATTCTGGCCAGGGAAGTCCCCAAGTATTAGAGTTGCCAGTTTACGTGATCCTCTGCTACTTTGGCTGAGAAGACTGTCTCGCTGAAACAAGGATAGGGCCGGATCAAAACTGATAGAGCAAGCAAAATAAGAGACAACATTTCTAAAACATGTGATGTAAAATCAAAACAATTCTTGCAAATAATCTTTTTTTTTTTAAAAAAAAACCCCACCATCTCAAAGAAGAAATATCCACTTTAAAGACTCTTACTATGCTAACATACCATGTTTCTAATCATCAGCCATATGACCTTCACCACATCATTAGCCATGTGACCTTCTGGCCCTTAGGATGTGACATTCCAGTAAACAGCTGGCCTGACGAATTAGAACATGTCCGGCTGACGGCACTCTTAATAGTTAAGTGTCAACTTTAATCATCAAAGGTGCTCTCTGCTTCACAGCTGTTAATTTTTTTTTAAATAAGCACAAACTCAATTACTCTTAAAGCTTGATGACCAATCTCAAAACATAGCCTTTCCTTTTTAAAACAAAAGACCTTATTATCTTTACATTTTGCATCACTGAACAGCCGTGCTTCAAAAAATCATTTAGAAGAAACATCTTAACCCTCATCTGAAGGTGAACGCAACATTCATCCAAGCAAACATGACCTGCTGGGGGAGATTTTAGTTGGAACCCAAAACAGTGGATACCTTAAAGATGAGGTTCTTCAAAAGCAGCTTTAGTTGGGCTGCTTTAATGAACCGCAAAGAGGTGCTTAGTTGGGTCTGAACCCTTTGTCTGTGGAGAGTCTCAGTCATCCAGGTCATGGTTGTCCCAACGGTGCTTTTTCAAAACTTCCTCTGTTTTTCCTTGCAGATGTTTCACTTCTCATCCAACAAGCTTCTTCATTTTCTAACTTAGAACAGTTCTAACTCAGAACTGAAGCAGCTCCTTGGATGAGAAGCGAAACATCTTCAAGAAAAAGCAAAGGAAGTCCAATTGCCTCTTGAAAAAGAACTTTGGGATGTCTGAATCCCTTCTTCCAAATAAGTATGCAGAGGAAGACTGCTGGCAAAATCTGGCACTAATGTCTTCCTAATGGGAGTGCTGTTGTTTTGAATTCTGCCTGCTGTTTCTCTCTCTCTCTCTCTCTCTCTCTCTCTCTCTCTCTCTCTCTCTCCAATGTCTCTAGGAAGGGAAGATTAGGGATCTATCAATTCTCACTCCATTTAGAACGATCAATTCAAGCTCCTGTTTTGAAAGTGAGCAAACACCACCCAGCAGCAACATTAGGTAACAAAATGCGGAGGCTGTTTGCTTTCCAGAAAGGAAAGGAAAGGAAAGGCAGTAATCAAACCACAAGCCTGGGCTGTATTCCCACAACCAATAAATAATTATTTCTATCAAGAGCAATGCACGGTACTATTTTAGCAGCTGATTCAATGCTAAACCCCCCACCAGTTTAGCTCTGCAAGAAAGCGTTCTTGAAAAAAATGGAGGGGTTTACATAACAATAGCATTTAGACTTATGTGTCATTTCGTAGTGCTTTACAGCCCTCTCTAAGCGGTTTACAGAATCAGTCTATTTGCCCCCAACAATCTGGGTCCTCATTTTACTGACCTCAGAAGGACGGAAGGCTGAGTCAACCTTGAGCCAGTCAAGATCGAACTGCAGGCAGTGGGCAGAGTTAGCCTGCGATACTGCATTCTAACCACTGCGCCACCATGGCTCCAATCTTGAACCGGTCAGGATCAAACTTCAGGCAGTGTGCAGAGTTAGCCTGCAATACTGCATTCTCACCACTGCATCACCACAGCTCTAAATGTTCAATGTTTTCTTCTAGTTTTTCTATATCTTGGTTGGCTCTGGAAGAGGAACATGTTTTGGAAAACATGGGCATGCACCCAAAGGTGCTTCAGATCTAAAGTGCCCCATGTCTGAATTGGTAGGGAAAATTACAGTCAACAGTCCTTCCGTCTCGGTCTTGCCTACGACAAGATCTACTGCTACCAGTAAATATTTTTTCCCTTTGACAAGTTAATACATGGGTTGGTAACAATGACATTTTTTTTTTTTACATTTTTTCCCCACCACTCATTCTTTTTTTCTTCCTTACCTCATCACACTGGGTGATCCGGTGAGCAATTTCCTTTAGCTCCTTCATGGGTTTCTCATCCTGGAAGTCATATGGAAACGTTTCAGTCCATTCTTTCAGAAGCTGGATTATCTTTGCTGCAAAGGCCTTGAGCTTCCCCTAAATGAGAACAGAAGGTGGTTAATTGGGGGACCCAGAATCTTCCTAACTTTGAATGTTGGGCATGTTTGTGATGCTGTTCAGTGTCAAATGCAGGAGATGACCAGGCTGAGATTGAGGGAAGGGTCAAGCGTGTCATCAGTCCTGAATTCCTTCGTCCCTACAAGAGATCTAAGTGCAGTGCTCCTTGAATTCTGTTGACCCTTATCTACCACCAATTTGCTTTGACTGTTAGTAGTTCAGACTCTTGTAGAAAGCTAGCATGGAATGAACTTGTACTCACTCGATACAAACTTCCTGGTTTCCAAGTTGCACCTGACCCCAAATTTTGTACCATCAATTAGAAAAAGGGAGAATGGAAACAAAGGAAAGGGTCAATTTGTATTTATTTACTCTTTTGCTTCCAGAGGTGGTGGGTGCTCCATTCCTGTGAATGGACCACCCTAGCACACCACTCAATGCCTGGCCAAGGTGGGTGGGAGAACTACTTGCCAAGAAGAAAACCATGCAACTCTGCCTAGTGCAATCCAATTTATAGAGAGATATGATTCTTCCAGCTTCATTGGACATTAGCTTGGATTCAAAGATGATCAGGTTTCAATGGGACATTGTTGGAGAGAGAGTTGGAAATATGCTTCCTTATTCTTGAGTCAATCAACCATGTCTCGGAGGGTGGAGGGCTTCCTGGTCCCCCCCCACCTTGGTCACAGGGCGTTGTGTTCCTTGCTCCTGGTGTCCATTGTTGTCATAACTTCATCCTGTTTCTTTATATTAGTATGGCTGGCTGGGTATTAATGGAAAGCTAGTTCTCAAGGATGGGAAAGGCTTAAATGCTTGTTCTGGGAGCGGGCTGAGAGATTTTCTCTGAATGAAACTGTGAGAAGCAAGGACTTCCTTTGTTCATCCTTCTAATCAGATCAGCTAAAAAGTTCGTGACTCTTTCTCCTTCCTTTGAAAGGGGAAGGAAGATGGGCTGTTCCTTCTGTGCTCTGCACCCTTGCATGGGAATTGAGAGACTCCAACAGATTAGCCCAATTCCCTTTAGGAGAAAAAGAGGAAGATGTATTTTTTTTAAGAATTTCCTCTACAAGAGAATGCTCGGTTGAAGTGACAGTCGTGGCCAAAATGGTGGAAACCTTTTGGGAAAAGTGTACAGTAGAAATGCCACCTTTGGTTAAGTTTCCATCCATTTTTCTTCCAATTTCTTTATAATTGTAGCCTTGTTCACTTAATAATACGGTTTTACATCACTTTCTGGGCAACCAGTCAACTCTTTGCGCCATTACTTTAATTTTATTATGTTTTACAAGCTCACTCAATGAAAGAACACAAAAGAACCCAACCAACTTGATAGCCATCACATAACACACTAACAAATGTCCTCCTCTCGGCTTCAGTTCAGGACATCAATCACTGAATCCTACTGTGATCTGATTGGCTCATTGCCAAAACAAGATGACACCTGATTGGCTCTCTAAACACTCACGCTCATTGGCTACCATCGGATGAAAGAAAGCTACCTGAGATCAATCTAAGCAAGTTGTGCTTCCTTTTTCTGGTTATTTGGCTATTATCTTTCACAGAATACAGTACAGATAATTGAACAAACTATGTTGCATTACGTTCTTGATTAAATGATCTTTCCATTGATATATAATGTTATGGTACTGCTCCAAAAAAAGTGGTGTTCTTAGCCATCCAACCTCAAAAATACACTTTTCCCAAAAGGTTTCCACAAATTTGGCCACTACTGTAGACTTCTGCTTAAAATAATAATAATGCCAGAAATTCTTCCTTGAGCCTTATCACATGAAAAAACAAAGGGGGTGGGGTTGAGTGAGACTCCAGATCTAGCTCAGATTTTTGTCATCTGTGGAAACATCCATGTGTTCTCCCTGGCAACAGCATGGAAGAAACTGCTGCTATCTATTGTGATGTCCTTAAGACACCCCCACCTTGGTGTTCTCAACTAAGTTACTTGCCTCCTGCTGAGACACAGCAGGAGAGTTGGGGAGATTTCATTTATAATCTCCAAATTGAACTCTGGGAAATTTCAGCTGATTTCTCAAGGAACAGGGTGAGCTTCATCTAAATGTCCCTTTTGTCCTCAGCCGGTGGCTGCACGGAGAATGTTCCACTTTCCTTCTTCTGGCACCCAACACTTTTGATTTTGGATGACACCCTCATCCGCGAATCAATCAGAATAGAGCTGGAAGGGGCTTTGGAGGTCTTCAAGTCCAACCCCTTGCTCAAGCACTTTATTGACTCGCCACCAACATCCCCACCATTGACAAAAGAAGGGATCTGAAACGTCTTTCAACATTGTGTGCTCCCAAAAACTCTACCTCTATTTGCTCCAGCAGAAGGAACATAACAAAAGGAACATCAGCTGGATATTGATGACTTTATAATGGGATTACAAAGGGGTCAGGAAGGAGAGGGTGACGGAACAGGGTCCAGTCACTTTTTTTTCTTCTCCTAAATTTCCAGGGATCAAGTTTAAGAAGATCTATCACTTCCTTTCACTGTACTAAGGCAGGCAGCATTCAGGATTTGGGTTGAACTCAAAAAAAACCTTTGCAGAATCAGAGTTGATTAGCGATTAGACAAGGCTCCACAAAGCTAGACTGGGAAGCCAGCCTGCCTGCTTGTCTGTTGTCTGTCTGTCTGTCTGTCTGTCTGTCTGTCTGTCTGTCTGTCTGTCTGTCTGTCTGTCTGTCTGTCTGTCTGTCTATCTATCTATCTATCTATCTATCTATCTATCTATCTATCTATCTATCTATCTATCTAATCTATCCAGTCTATCCATCCATCCATCCATCCATCCATCCATCTATCTATCCATCCTCCTACCTATTTATCATCTGTCTGTCTATCTATCTATCTATCTATCTATCTATCTATCTATCTATCTATCTATCTATCTATCTAGCTATCTAGCTATCTATCTCTGTCTATCTATCTATCTATCTATCTATCTATCTATCTATCTATCTATCATCTATCTTATCTATCTATCCATCCTCCTACCTATTTATCATCTATCTATCTGTCTGTCTGTCCGTCCGTCCGTCCGTCCGTCCGTCCATCCATCCATCCATCTATCTATCTATCTATCTATCTATCTATCTATCTATCTATCTATCTATCATCTATCTTATCTATCTATCCATCCTCCTACCTATTTATCATCTATCTATCTGTCTGTCTGTCCGTCCGTCCGTCCGTCCATCCATCCATCCATCCATCCATCCATCCATCCATCCATCCATCCATCTATCTATCTATCTATCTATCTATCTATCTATCTATCTATCTATCAACCCTAGAAGAAAACAAGAGCAACTGAGATTGTTCCCAGGAAAATAACAGAATATACTCTATGTCTGTAGAATCCAGCTCAGTTCAAGGACTTTGTAACCCAAAATATTTGTTCCTTCTGCATTTGATACTGGTAGATGGATATGAAAATCACAACAATCCATGTGCATTTGCAAAACAGCTTCAGACCCAGTGTAAACAACACGAAGGGGAGACATTGCCTTGAAAGAGATCAAACTCTTAGCTGGGATCTGACATTTAAGAACAAGTCAGATGCTTGTTTCAGATTTTGTAACAAATCAGCGTGTTGCATAAGGACATGTTTTGAAGCAATTTTGTTTATGTATACCAAACAGAACAAAGTGAAGATGTTAAGAAAATTGTTCCCTGTTAACTGTCTGGGATGTGTACAACGCAACTGACCCCAAAATTTCTGTTGGCTAAGTAAGACAATTGTTAAATGAATTTTGCCCCACTTTACAATCTTTCTTACCACAATTGTGAAGTGAATCACTGCAGTTGTTAAGTTAGTGACATGTTTGTTAAGCCAATCTGGCTGTTAAGTGAATCCAGTTTCCCCATTGGCTTTGCAACTGTCATAAGTATGAACCCAGTTGCCAAACATTCAAATTCTGATCGCGTGACCATTGTGTGATTCTAGTGGTCATAAGTCTGAAAAATGACCATAAGTCGCTTCTTTTCCCCTCCCCCCAAGGGCGCTGTAACTTCAAATGGTCACCGAATGAACTGTTTCAAGTTGAGGACTAGCCGCATGATTTTATGTTCCACTTTTTCAACAACCAGGTTAGTTTTACTTTAATATTATACAGTAGTGGCCAAAATTGGGGAAACCATTTGGGGAAAAGTGTACAGTAGAAATGCCACCTTTGGTTAAGTTTCCACCCATTTTTCTTCTAATTCCTTTATCACTGTAGCCTTGTTCACTTAATAATACTATTTTACATCGCTTTCTGGGCGACCAGTCAACTCTTTGCATCCTTACTTCAATTTTATTACGTTTTACAAGCTCAAAAAACACAATTTGATAGCCATCACACAACACACTGGCAAAGGTCCTCCTCTCAGCTTCAATACATGACATCAATCACTGAATCCTACTGTGATCTGATTGGCTCATGGCCAAAACAAGATGACACCTGATTGGCTCTCTAAACACTCATGCTCATTGGCTACCATCAGATGAAGGAAAGCTACCTGAGATCAACCTGAACAAGTTGTGCTTCCTTTTTCTGGCTATTTGGCTATAACTTTTCATAGAATACAATAAAGATAATTGAACAAACTATGTTGCATTACATTCTTGATTAAATTATCTTTCCACTGATACATAATTTTATGGTACTACTCCCCCAAAAAGTGGTGTTCTTAGCCATCCAACTTCAAAAATACACTTTTCCCAAAAGGTTTTGGCCACTAGTGTATTAGGATTGTTTTCCTAAAGTCAAATGGATTTCCTTTGGTTTTCTGTTTAGCCTTCCTTGGCAGGGTTCACATCCTACCGAATGCGTAATGCAGTTGGGAATTTTGAAACGCCGACTTGTCAAGTCAACCAGAAAAACCCTCCTAGGTTGATCTGAGCCGCACTGAATTTTGGTTTTTAATCTGCCAGCTTATATGATTTGGAACCATTTCTTTGAGATTTCGCTAGGCGCCGGTGACGCTCACGTAGGAAGGATAAATAGTTTTAGTGCGTAACCACAAGACGGGATATCCTGCCGATGTTTCTATGTACACACCATCAACCAGCTTTGATTTTGTAGACTGTTTCTGCCAATATTTTTTTAGCTGTGGATGTTGTGTGTGTGGGTAAACCTTCCCTATTATGCTGTCCTGGTCCTTTTGGATTGATATCCCCACTGTCCTTTTTGTTGAATTTTCAAAATTTAGGTTTAAAGAAAAAAAAATCATTGCGCTCTTGATGGAAAACGTGCATATTTTAAAAGTGGAACTTTCCCATTTTTCGACTGGAGGAGCTGAGAGAAATGCAAGACGCCTTTCTGTATCCGATTTCAACATTACGATGGGAACATTCAAAGTCTCAATAGTAAGAGGCATGGAATGCCTCTGTTAAGCTTTGCAAATAGGTTTATTTTCCCCTCTCTTCAAGTTAATGAAATCTTATCCTCCAAACCGCTTCTTGCTTAGCCTTTGCACAGCTTCCTGGTTTCTAATCCCCTCTTGGAAAACGTATCCAAAAAGAAATCACAAATATTGCTCTGATATAACGCCATTCAGGTTGACTGAACACTGAGCACAGAACAGCAGAGTTGGAAGGGACCTTGGGGGGGGGGTCTTCTAGTCCCAACCCTCTGCTCATTCAGGAGAGCCTATGTCATTCCAGACAAATGGCTGTCCAGTCTCTTCTGAAAACCTGAGTTATTCCAGGGTTTTGGTTTGCTAATTACAGGGGATTCAGGCGTATTTCAGAAACCAAATGTGCCTCTTTCAGTTCCTAAATAATTCATGCTTACGTCAAAGAATATCCAAGTTTATGGAGTGTTGACTTGCCGAATGAAATTGAGACAGACTCTGCCTGGGAATTTGGGCAGAATTGTGTTGCTCCGGATATCACAGATTGACACCTGAAACAGTCAGCAAGCTAGAAGAGAAAAGAATGTAACTCGGGATTGAACTGTGGGGTCCTTGGTGCTCTCTGAGCTTGGTGGTTTTCTTGTAGATGTTTCGTTACCAAACTAGGTAACATCATCAGTGCTGGAAGGGAGTGGGGGGAGGAGGAGGAGGAGGAGGAGGAGGAGGCTAACACTAACCCTTAGCACTGATGATGTTAGCTATTTTGGTAATAAAATGTCTGCAAGAAAACAGGCCTCAGAGAGCACCAAGGACCCCACAGTCATTGTCGTCGTCGTTGTCATCATTGTCGTCGTCGTCGTCCTCCTCCTCCTCCTCCTCCTCCTCCTCCTCTTCTCCACAAACCCCTCTCTCTTCTAGCACTGATGATTTTACCAAGTTTGGGTAATGAATCATCCGCAAAAAAAAAACCCCACCAGGCTCAGAGAGCGCCAAAGACCCCACAGTAAACAGTAGCTAATCTTAGTTTCTCAACAAGTTCTATTCAACTCTTACGCAGAAAAAATAACATTATGTTAGCCTAAAAAGATACAATAGGTAAGGAAGTTCCTGTCATTAAATATGAATATAGGGTTGAAAAGACCTCTACACTCCAGGAGCTGACTTGTGTTCATTAACTTATGCCATGAGGTGAAGGACCTGTTTGGCCATTAGTGATGTAGATGTCACTGCAGAAGGAAAAGAAATACAAATAAAATTGGAGAACAACTTGATCGCTCCCTTACCTTGTCTGCTTCCACCCCGGTCTCCAGCTGCTGTTTCTGCTTAAGACAGAGGTGTCCAACTTTAGCCAAGAGCTCGTGAGGATGAATGAAGACCCGGGAACTCAGGAGGAAGGTGAAAATGTATGTCCTCTGGATGGAAAAGATGGGAGAAAGAAACAGAAAGGAACTTTAACATTTATTTCCCCCAGGGAGTGTTTGTGAAGGTGTCAAGCTTGACTTGGAGAAGAAGTGAACATTTATCTTTTGAAAAATGGTGACCAAACAAACCATTAGTTACAACAGTGGCCAAAATTGTGAAAACCTTTTGGGAAAAGTGTATTTTTGAGGTTGGATGGCTAAGAACACCACTTTGCTTTGGAGTAGTACCATAAAATTATATATCAGTGGAAAGATAATTTAATCAAGAATGTAATGCAACATAGTTTGTTCAATTATCTGTACTGCATTCTATGAAAAGTTATAGCCAAATAACCAGAAAAAGGAAGCACAGCTTGCTTAGGTTGATCTCAGGTAACTTTCCTTCATCCGATGGTAGCCAATGAGCACGAGTGTTTAGAGAGCCAATCGGGTGTCATCTTGTTTTGGCAATGAGCCAATCAGATCACAGTAGGATTCAGTGATTGATGTCAGGGATTGAAGCTGAGAAGAGGACATTTGTTAGTGTGTTATGTGATGGCTATCAAGTTGGTTGGGTTTTTTTTGTGTGTTCTTTCATTGAGTGAGCTTGTAAAACGCAATAAAATTAATGGTGCAAAGAGTTGATTGGTTGCCCAGAAAGCGATGTAAAATAGATTTATGAAGTGAACAAGGCTACAGTTATAAAGAAATTTGAAGAAAAATGGGTGGAAACTTAACCAAAGGTGGCATTTCTCTTGTATACTTTTCCCAAAATGTTTCCCCAATTTTGGCCACGACTGTAGTTGCCTTTTGGGCTAGCAATCCTCCCCAACAGCTTATGGAACAAATCTGCAAATATCAGAATTAAACCAATAAGGGATGATAAACATCTCCCCCCCCACACACACACACCGACCACCAAAGAAATTCAAACAACACAACTCCAAACTGTATCAAAGCATCCCCAGAAAACATTCTATCAATGCTCTGTTGGAAAGTGTCAAATCAATGCTCTATCAAGGTGAAGTAGCTTATTAAATAGATGTCTGCTGAGCTTCCCAGATACCTACAAGGCAAGAATCTGTTACGTGTTGACCAAAACATAGTCTCAGAGCTAGCCATAGGACAATCTAAATACTCCATAATAAGGAAGCGTAAGAAACCTCCAGTAGAAATGCGTTCACACAAATTCTCTGTGGCCTTCCATGTTTGTGCTTCTCAAGTAGAGCTTAGATTGAAGATGGGGATGGGCAGAGTTGAGACGCACACATACCCAAAGAAGGGGGGGGGTCAAGCTTTTCTCCAAAGCACCTGAAGGCAGGACAAGAAGCAACAGATGGGAACTCATCAAGGAGAGAAGCAACCTGGAATTAAGGAGAAACTTCCTGACACTTAGAACAATTAACAGCTTGCCTGAAGAAGTGGTGGATGCTTCATTACTGGAGGCTTTTAAAAAAAGATTCGACAACCTTCTGTCTCTAATGATATAGGATCTCCAGCCTGAGCAGGGGGTTGGACTAGAAGACCTCAAGATCCCTTCCAACTATGTTTTTCCGTCAACTTTGGTTCTCTTTTGACAATAAAACCAGACTCGCAAGGCTGCTTTGAAAGCTAGCTGTGTTATTTACACATGTGTGTTGCTGCGTGGAACAGCTGATTCACCCTCCTCCTCCCCAGCCAGTAGCCCCTTTAGAAGCGGTGTCACTGCATGTGCACAAACATGACCGGCTTTCGACAGCTGCCCAAATCTTGCAAAAATGGGGACTGGCCTAACGCTTCAAAGCAATGGCTTTCATCTGTTGCGGAATCCACTTTGCAAAAACAGGCCTTTTGAATGCTTCGCACAGCTTTCAGCAGCTGCAGTTCAAGGGACCATAATGGAGCACCAAAAGATTTTATTCCCCCCCCCCAACTCTATTTCTTTTCTGGCTTTGATTCTTTGAAGATTTTTTTGTCTCGGAAAGCTTCTGTGCGTCTCTTCCAAACCGAAGGCAGACTTAGGTTTCATAAAGGTTTTGGAGGCCTTTATACTTAGCGTAAAACCAGTTGTAATGAATCTTGGCTCAATCTGTTTCTAGGAGGTCCTGATTTGCTCTCAAAAGCAAGAGAGTTTTTGCTGAAAGCTGCAAATCCAAAATTTACAGGGATTCGCTTTGAATGACGTTCAGGTATGGCCACATTTGTTGAGTTCCATATAGCCCGTTTTTGTCACTTTGGGTGAATTAGAATTGCCTCTAGTTCAGTGGTTCTCAACCTGTGGGTCGGGACCCCATTTGGGGTCGAACGACCATTTCACGGGGGTCGCCAAACAAGGCTGTCTGCCATTTTTTCCCCCTTTTCTTTGGCCACGCCCCTGGCACCCGGTGATGTATCAGTGGTTGAGGGTCACCACAACATGGGGAACTGTATTATGGGGTCGTGGCATTAGAAAGGTTGAGAACCACTGCTCTAGTTTTACAAAGCCATATTTTTTTCCTCCTCCTCCTCCTTCTCCTCCTCCTCCTCCTCCTCTCCACAAAATTCACTCCATTCTATCACTGATGATGTTACCTAGTTGGGTAATGAAATGTCTGCAAGAAAACCACCAAGCTTAGAGAGCACCAAGGACCACCACTTCTTCTTCTTCCTCCTCCTCCCTTCCCCTCCTCCTCCTCCTCCTCCTCCTCCTCCTCCTCCTCCTCCTCCTCCTCCTCCTCTTCTTCTTCTTCTTCTTCTTCTTCTTCTTCTTCTTCTTCTTCTTCTTCTTCGTCTTCTTCTTCTTCTTCTTCTTCTTCTTCTTCTTCTTCTTCTTCTTCTTCTTCTTCTTCTTCTTCTTCTTCTTCTTCTTCTTCTTCTTCTTCTTCTTCTTCTTCTTCTTCTCCTTCTCCTTCTCCTTCTTCTTAGAAGAGACTGGACAGTCACTTGTCTGAGATGGTATAGGTTCTCCTGCTCGAGTGGGTGGGGGGCTGGACTACAAGACCCCCAAGGTCCCTTCCATCTCTATTCTATTCAACTGTTGTTAGTTGAGGACTACCTGTGTTTGAAAAAAAAAACATCTCTACAAGAGGACAGATTGTTAGGACTGTTTTCTTTTTAAAAAACAAAAACCCGTCTACATTTATGGCTTGGGTGAGTAAGAAGTGATAAGCAGACCTCCACAGAGGAAGTCTAGAAATTAACTCTGGCTGCTTAAAGCAATGGAAATAAGGAGGGAGGTTTGGCCCCAGACAGGAAGGGAGGCCTAGCCCTTGATCTATCTGCCTGCACGGAGATAGCTGACTTGATGTGACTGATGATTGATGTAGGTTGCAAAGACAGGAACAAGCAAGAACAGCTTGTTCAGAAGTGACAATTGCCTCATTTCTTTTCCTCCCCCTTTCTCCTTTGCTGGTTATCTGGTCCAAGCGTGGATAAACACAACGGGATGCAGTGTTTCTCAACCTTGACAATTTTAAGGCATGTGGACTTCAACTCCCAGAATTCCACAGCCAGCATTGCTGGCTGTGGAATTCTGGGTGTTGAAGTCCACATGCCTTAAAATTGTCAAGGTTGAGAAACACTGGGATAGTGTTAGTGGGTGTTTTCCCCAGCCTTCCTTTCCAAGTGTTGAGTTCAAAGCCCATTTCTTTTCCTCCCTATTACATAACAGACTAACAGAGTTGGACCTTGGAGGTCTTCTAGTCCAACCCCCTGCTCAGGCAGGAAACCCTATACCAGGGGTGTTAAACTCAATTTCATTGAGGGCCGCATCAGCATTGCGGTTGCCCTCGGGGTGTGTGTGTGTGTGGCCAGAGTGAGCACAGCCTACTGGGTGGGTGTGGATGGAGTGGGTGTGGCCTACTGGGTGGGCATGGCTAGCTCTACTTTGTTCCCGTCAAGAGTGCCTGTGGGGGCCTGGGCAGGAGTGGGACAGATCTGAGGGTCTCTGGCAGACGGGGGTGGGCCCGGGGCAAGCGCCGAGGTATGGTCCATTTCTTCATTCCTCACAAAGGATGACACCTCCCCAGCATGCAACCAGGGGGCAGGGGCGACACAGCAGGGGCTGGTTCCTCGCTGTTTTTACACAGCCTTGTGGAGCTGAATGCGTTTCAGCATAGATGGCCACCACAAAATTGTACATTGGCTCCCGGCTGGTCTGGGCCAGGGCCAAGGCAGTGGGGGCCATTCCCTCACTGTTTCCAGGATGGCTTCGCGGGCCACATGAAACCACTTTGCGGGTCGCATCCGGCCCCTGGGCCTTGTGTTTGACGTGTCTGACCTATACCATTTCAGACAAACGGTTGTCCAATCTCTTCTTAAAAACTTCCAATTTGCATAAAAACTTTTAACAGTGAGTACCATTGCCCAACCTTACAATCAACAACTTAGGCGAAGAACTGCTTCATAGGAGCAGTTGTTGTTGTTATTGTTTGATCTCTAAGTTATGCCTGAGTCTTCATGATCCCATGGACCACAGCCTGTCAGCCTCTCCCCTCTCCAGTCCTCCACTGTCTCCTGGAGTTTGCCCAAATTCATGTTCATTGTGTCTAACCGTCTCACCCTCTGTTGTCCCCTTCTCCTTTCGCCTTCCATTTTTGCCAACATCTGAGTCTTCTCCAAGGAGTCTCCACTTCTCATTCGGTGGCCAAAGTATTTGAGCTTCAGTATTTGTCCTTCCAAAGAACAGTCAAGGTTGATTGAGATGTTACTTTTTGTGCTTTCTAAGCCAAATTCAGCAATCTGTAATGTCTGTTTCCTCTCTTAACTGTCTTGCTCGGTATTCCCATGGTCTACTAAGCATTCCATCATAATGTTTTGTTCTTGTTCTTGTTCAGTCGTTAAGTTGTGTCTGACTCTTCATAACCCCATGGATCATAGCATATCAGCTCCTCCCGTCCTCCACTGTCTCCCAAAGTCTGCCCAAGCCCATGTCCATCAGGTTGATGACACCATCAAACTGTCGTCCCTTTCTCCTTTCACCTTCCATCTTTCCCAACCTCAGGGTCTTCTCCACGGAGTCCTCTCTTCTCATTTGGTGGCCAAAGCATTTGAGCTTCAATCTCTGTCCTTCCAAAGAACAGTCAGGGTTGATGGAGACGTTCTTTTTCGTGCTTTCTAACCCAGATTCAACAATCTGTAATGTTTCTGTTTCCTCTCTTAATTGTCTTGCTTGGTATTCTCATGGTCTACTAAGCATTCCATCATAATGTTTTGTTGTTGTTGCTCAGTTGCTAAGTTGTGTCTGACTCTTCATGACCCCATGGACCATAGCGCACCCTGTCCTCTCAGTGTCTCCCAGAGTCTGACCAAACCCATGTCCATCATGTCAATGACACCATCTGCCGTCCCCTTCTCCTTTCACCTTCCATCTTTCCCAACATCTGGATCTTCTCCAAGGAATCCCCTTTTCTCATTAGGTGATCAAAGTATTGGAGTTTCAGCTTCAGTGTCTGTCTTTTCAAAAAAACCAGGTTGATTTCCTTTTGAAGCTCAATACAATAACACTGACCAAATCTTCCAGCCTTTTGACTTAATCCCCATGTCCCTCAAATGAAGAGCTCCTCTGAACCAATACGGAAGGAAGGAAGGAAGGAAGGAAGGAAGGAAGGAAGGAAGGAAGGAAGGAAGGAAGGTAGGTAGGTAGGTAGGTAGGTAGGTAGGTAGGTAGGTAGGTATTGGGTCAATAAAAGGAAGGAGGAAGAACAGCTAAACTTTTCAATATACAATTGTTCTTAAAGAAGTGATAAAGATATTTTTAACTATACAAACATCTGTCCATTTCCCCCTAGGAAGGAAGGAAGGAAGGAAGGAAGGGAGGGAGGGAGGGAGGAAGGAAGGAGGGAAGAAAAGAAAAGGAAGGGAGGGAGGGAGGGAGGGAGGAAAGAAGAAGGAAGGAAGGAAGGGAGAGAGGGAGGGAGGAAGGAAGGAAGAAAAGAAAAGGGAGGGAGGGAGGGAAGGAAGAAAGGAAGGAAGGAAGGAAGGAAGGAAGGAAGGAAGGAAGGAAGGAAGGAAGGAAGGAAGGAAGGAAGGAAGGAAGGACACCATGGATGGAAGCCCTATTCTGACAGTATTGTACATCAGCTGTGATTTTAAAAATGAGCCAAAGGAATGAGAAAACCTTAAACTGAACCACTATCTCCTGTGTAGTTGTCAGAAGATTACACAAGTTTGGGGGCAAAGGAAACAACAACAACAACTACAACAAAAGAAAATCCTTGGGAATGAGCTGGAAGTGGAACCAAAGAAGGCTTCAGGGTGTTAAAATCGGAAAGAAGGGAGTGACTTCCTCTGGTGCCCAAACTTGTTGCTAAGAGACGGGATAAGGAAAAGGAGGGAGGATGGAGAGGGTGAAAGAGCCAGGAGGAGGAGGAGGAGAAGAGAGACTAAAATAGTAACTGCTAGTTAAGGAGTAAGAATGTAGAAATCTCTTCTGGGGAAGAGGAAGGGGGGGTAAAGCCCCGAGCATATTGTGCCCCTCAGTTTATGCTGAGTCTGGAAGTGTTTATTTGTTCGAGCCTCTGGAGAAGCGGCTGTTTGCAATGGTCACGCTTGGAGGGTGAGCGCTAAGCACATTCCATTCCTACATTCCAGACATGGAGGTTCACGGCCCTTAGTGAGGATGCAGATGCCCCTGGGTGCCAAACAAACGCTTCTTCTACGCGAGTGATTTTTCCCTGGGTGCCTGTGTTCTTTCTTTCTTTCTTTCTTTCTTTCTTTCTTTCTTTCTTTCTTTCTTTCTTTCTTTCTTTCTTTCTTTCTTTCTTTCTTTCTTTCTTTCTTCTTTTCCCTAGCATGACAGAAGGAAAAAACAAAAGGGTATTCCCTCCGAGTGAAAATTTCTTTCCTTCTCTCTCTCTCTCTCTCTCTCTCTCTTTCTTTCTTCTTTTGTTTTTTGCATCTTCTCATTGAACTAGAATAGTTAGTCATCTCTTTCTCTGCTTCCTGCTTCCTGCTTCCTTCTCTTTTCCTTCCTTCTAAAGGAGAAATAATTCTTGCTTTCTCTCTAAAGGGGCTTAGCTCAAGATGCATTGTTGGTGGTTTTTAGGATGTCAAAGTTCAAACGAGGTAGAAGAAGTTAAAGGGCTGCTTTTAAAGGGCTGTCTTCCTTCCTTCCTTCCTTTCTTTCTTTCTTTCTTTCTTTCTTTCTTTCTTTCTTTCTTTCTTTCTTTCTTTCTTTCTTTCTTTTCTTTCTTTCTTTCCTTCCTTCTTCCTTCCTTTTTTCCTCCCTCCTTTTCTTTCTTTCTTCTTTTTTTGCACTCTTCAGATTTAACTAGAATAGTCATCTCCCTCTCCTTCCTTCCTTCCTTCCTTCCTTCCTTCCTTCCTTCCTTCCTTCCTTCTCTCTCTTTCTTTCTTCCTTCCTTCCTTCCTTCCTTCTCTTTCTTTCTTGCAACTTTTATTTTTTTGTGCTCTTCTAATTTAACTATAATAGTCATCTCCCTCTCCTTCCTTCCTTCCTTCTTCCTTCCTTCCCTTCCTTCTTTCTTTCTTTCTTTCTTTCTTTCTTTCTTTCTTTCTTTCTTTCTTTCTCCTTCCTTCCTTCCTTCCTTCCTTCCTTCCTTCCTTCCTTCCTTCCTTCCTTCCTTCCCCCCCCTCTCCCTCCCTCCCTGGGACATTACTGTAATTCCTCTCTAGAGAAGCATAATGAAAATGTGAAGAAGCAGATTTTTCACCCCCACTGGACTGTGTGCTGATGCAGTCCCAAAATTAACAGCAGAATGTCGAAGGCAGGTGTTTGCCTGATCTATGACAGAAGTGCACTCTTGTGGAATTTTCACTGGCTCAGCCCTGGATGAGAATGCATTAGTTGCCAAGTCAGGAGGAAAGAAAAAAGGAATTCAGTGTTTCAGTTGTGCAGGATGTGAGTAGTGGAACTAGAGTGACAAGACATATCAGTTGTGGGTGTCAACAGGCATGAAAGAATCAAATAATATTTAATGAACAGAATAACAGCATAGCAGAATTGGAGGGGACCTTACAACCGTTCATTTAGCGACTACTTCAAAGTTACTGTGGCCCTGAAAAATGTGACTTGTGATCATTTTTGACAATTATGAGCATTGCAGCATGTGATCAAAAGTCAGTTGCTTGGCAACTGGCTCATATTTATGTCTGGGCGTCATGCGATCCCTTTTTGCAATGTTCTGACAAAGTCACCAAGGAAGCCTGATTCCCTTAATAACCACGTTACCAACTTAGCAACGGCAGTGATGACACTTAACAACTGTGCCGCGTGTCACATTTAGCGACAGAAACGTTGAGCTCAATGGCGGTTGAGGACTAACCTGTATTATCAACGCCTGAATCTAGGAATCTAGGAAACCAACAGCAAAAGATGAGTGGCATAGTAAACCATCTACTTACATCTGGGTAGTAATCCATGGTGGGCACCAGATGCTGGATGAGGACCTCCAGGGATCCAGAAATAAGGTTCCCATCCTGATAGACAGGATCGCTATTCCTCTCGCCTGTGTCTGGTTGCACCTGTCCTCTACATCCCGTCCCGAGCATGCTGGAAAAGATTGGTGTCTGTGGCATAGTTTCCTGTAAAACAGAGGGAGCAACATGAAGGGCGAGTAAGAAACACGAATGTCCCAGGATTTGGGGGCCATGCCTCCCTTAGGAAGACAAGCCCACTTGCTCTTATGCACCATGAAGGCTGGACTGGCTCATGATGAAGAGCATAGAAGTAAACCATGCCCTCCTGCTGGAAGTGAACATTATGGAAACTAAGGCAGATGGATCTCGAAGGCTGGGTCTCACAAGCCTACATTTATAGAATAGAATAGGATAGGATAGGATAGGATAGGATAGGATAGGATAGGATAGGATAGGATAGGATAGAATAGAATAGAATCTTTAAATGGAATGGAGTGGAATGGAGTGGAGTGGAGTAGAGTAGAGTAGACATTGTAGAACAGAATAGAATAGAGTAGAGTAAAGTAGAATAGAATAGAATAGAATAGAATAGACATTGTAGAGTAGAGTAGAGTAGAATAGAATATAGAATAGAATAGAGTAGAATGTAGAATAGAATGTAGAATAGAATGTAGAATAGAATAGAATAGAATAGAATAGAATAGAATAGAATAGAATAAAATAGACATTGTAGAGTAGAGTAGAGTAGAGTAGAATAGAATATAGAATAGAATAGAATAGAGTAGAATGTAGAATAGAATGTAGAATAGAATAGAATAGAATAGACATTGTAGAGTAGAGTAGAGTAGAGTAGAATAGAATATAGAATAGAATAGAGTAGAATTAGAATAGAATAGAATAGAATAGAATAGAATAGAATAGAATAGAATAGAATAGAACAGAATAGAGCTGGAAGGGAACTTGGAGGTCTTCTAGTCCAGCCCCCTGCTCAAGCAGGAAAACCTGTACCATCTCAGACAAGTGACTGTGTAGCCTCTTCTTAAAAACCTCCAGTGATGGAGTGATCCAGTGATTTAATTAATGGAAGAACAGGGGTAGTCCATTGGTTAGAATGCAGTAATTGCAGGCAAACTCTGTCCACAGCCTGGAGTTTGATCTGGACCGGCTCAAGGTTGACTCAGCCTCCCATCCTTCTGAGGTCAGTAAAATGAGGACCCAGATTGTTGAAGGCAATATGGCAATAGCATTTATATATCGCTTCACAGTTCTTTACAGCCCTCTCTAAGTGGTTTACAGAGTCAGCCTATTTGCCCCCAACAATCTGTGCCCTCATTTTTCTGACCTCAGAAAGATGGAAGGCTGAGTCAACTTTGAGCCCGTCAGGATCAAACTCCAGGCTGTGGACAGAGTTTGCCTGCAATTACTGCATTCTAACCAATGGGCTACCCCTGTTCATGCTCTTATTTGGTTGACAGGATAAGATTTGTCTCCCAGTTAAAGGGTTAAAAAAAAGCAGTCTGCATAATGAGAAAGAAAATGGTTACAAAGCATTAAACCTAACATGGTACATTTAATCTCTTACCGCCAAGACATGCACCGGAACACAGACTTTTTGTTTTATTGGGGTAGGACATATTAATTGAAATCATTCAGAAGTCTCAATCTATTTTTTTAAAAGCTCTCAAATGAGTTAAAAGCTGATTAAATACAATTTAAGAGCTGGAAAGAACAGAATGACTTGAAACCAATATACATAAAATTTTTTAACAGTGAGTACAATTTGAGAGACAATTTCAAGGTCCTTTACTTCCTAAGCCTTGTTCAGTGCTTTGTTAAATAGCAGAAATAACAGAATGACAGAGTTGGAAGGGACCTTGGAGGTCTTCTAGTCCAACCCCCTGCTCAAGCAGGAGACCCTAGACCAGTGGTTCTCAACCTTTTTAATGCCGTGACCCCCAACCGATTGTAAGTCGAGGACTACTCAGCACCGTTTGCAGAATGGGACTTTTGGTGGGCTCAGAAGGGCAGAGACAGCCTGGATAATTCCTATTGGCTTTTGAAAGCCAATAGAATTAGACTCTATTCAAGAGAGTCTATTCTATTGGCTTTCAAAAACCAATAGAATAAAAGGGTATAGCACAGCTAAGGAAAAGGGGGAAAAAATAGCGGGCTGCGTTGTTTGGCGACCCCCGTGAAATGGTCATTTGACCCCAAATGGGGTCCTGACCCACAGGTTGAGAACCACTGGCCTAGACCATTTCAGACAAATGGTTGTCCAGTCTCTTTTTGAACGCCTCCAGTGATGGAGCATCCATCACTCTTCAAAGGCAACCAGTTTGGATTTTCAAAGTCAACAATTTGGAATGTCCTTTTGGTGTGTCAATGCTTCCTCTCGATTTTGCTTTACCAACTTGAGACCTGGACAACATCATCTTTCCCTAGCCATGGCTCTTGAGTTATGATCCATTCTAGAACAGTGAGAGGGACCTTGGAGTCCTAGTGGACGATCACTTGACCACGAGCCAGCCATGTGCAGCAGCAGCCAAAAAAAGCTAATACAATCCTCGGTTGTGTAAACAGAGGCATAGAATCAAGATCACGTGACGTATTAGCATCACTTTATAAAACCCTAGTAAGGCCACACCTGGAATACTGCAGCCAATTTTGGTCACCACGTCACAAAAAAGATATTGAGAGTTTGGAAAAAATTCAGAGAAGAGCAACTAAGATGATCCAAGGCCTGCAGACTTAAACATGCAAAGAATGGCTGCAGGACTTGGGTTTGGCCAGTCTAAAGAAAAGAAGAAATAGGGGAGACATGATAGCAGTCTTCCAGTATTTGGGGGGCTGCCACAAAGAAGAGGGGATCACGTTTTTCTCCAAAGCACCAGAGGGCAGGACAAGAAACAATGGTTGGAAACTGACCAAAGAGAGAAGCAAGGAATTAAGGAGAAACTTCCTGACAGTGAGGACAATTAACCAGTGGAACAGCTTGCCTCCAGATGTTGTGGGTGCTTCATCACTGGAGATTTTTCAAAAGAGGCTAAACAGTCACTTGTTTGAGATGGTATAGGTTCTCCTGCTTGAGCAAGGGGCTGGACTAGAAGACCTCCAAGGTCCATTCCAGCTTTATTCTATTCTATTCTAGAACAAATCAAAATGTATCAGCTATCTCTGGTCCCTTGCTAAGCAAAGAACAGCATTTTGAGGACCAGTGAGTGCCAGTTTCATTGCCAAAGCTAATTTACCAGAAACTAAACACTGCTGAGGAAGCAGAATAAGAAAACAGGCAGGAACATGTTACAATTTCTCTAAGCTGATCAGAAGCCAGCGATCTGCAACCAAGACCTAATCCTAAAATAATAACCACACACAGTTCAGAAGGCCTTGCATGTTTCTGCTTGTTCATGCACAACAGCACACCCACACTGCTCAGCCAATGGCAGAGAATCTATTCTTTCCCCCCCCTCTCTGCTATTGTTTTCAATAACTCTCATGGTCATCCAGATTTTTGCAACCCAGGTCTGTTGATCTAGAATAGAATAGAATAGAATAGAATAGAATAGAATAGAATAGAATAGAATAGAATAGAATAGAATTACAGGATACAATTACAGGATAGAATAGAATAGAATAGAATTACAGGATACAATTACAGGATAGAATAGAAAAGAATAGAATAGAATAGAATAGAATAGAATAGAATAGAATAGAATAGAATAGAATAGAATTACAAGATACAATTACAGGATAGAATAGAATAGAATAGAATAGAATAGAATAGAATAGAATAGAATAGAATTACAGGATACAATTACAGAATAGAATAGAATAGAATAGAATTACAGGATACAATTACAGAATAGAATAGAATAGAATAGAATAGAATAGAATAGAATAGAATAGAATAGAATAGAATAGAATTACAGGATACAATTACAGAATAGAATAGAATAGAATAGAATTACAGGATACAATTACAGAATAGAATAGAATAGAATAGAATAGAATAGAATAGAATAGAATAGAATAGAATAGAATAGAATAGAATAGAAGATGGAAGGGACATGGGAGGTCTTCTAGTCCAGCCCCCCACTCAAGCAGGAGAACCTATACCATTTCAGATGTGATGTCCAGTCTCCTCTTAGAAACCTCCAGTGATGGAGCACCCATGATTTCTGGAGGCATGCTGTTCCACTGGTTAATTGTCCTTCACTGTCAGAAAGTTTCTCCTTAATTCCAGGTTGCTTTTCTCTTTGATCAGTTTCCAACCATTGTTTTGCATCCTTCCCTCTGGTGCTTTGGTGAATAACGTGACCCTCTCTTCTTTGTGGTAGCCTCTCAGATACTGGAACACTGCTACCATGTCTCCCCTATTTCTTCTTTTCTTTAGACTAGCCAAACCCAAGTCCTGCAGCCGTTCTTCGTATGTTTTAGTCTCCAGGCCTTGGATCATCTTAGTTGCTCTTCTCTGCACTTTTTCCAAGGTCTCAATTCTTTGCCTCCAGTGTCTTACTCCACTGTGCAACAGTCAACAGTCAACAACTATAAATATCAAGCATGGTCAAAGCGAAATTGCACAGAGGCGAGGGAAAAAAAGCAAGTTGCTAGGGCTGGTTTAGAAAAAAAACCCAACCGTTACTACACCCAGATGTCAAAGCAATTTAAGTCAAGATCCCCATATGGTTTCTCGATAGATTATGTTTACTATTCTGAGTTTTCAAGGTTACTCAGCTAAGGGAGGGTATTGGAAGCTGCTCCGGCATAACCAGCTTCCTTCCTTTCTTCCGGGACAATTCTTCCGTTCTCCATGAACTCAAGGCAGTCCTCAACTTATAAGAATTTGTTTAGTGACTGTTCAGAAGTTACAACAGCCCAGAAAAAAGTGACTTATAAATGTTTTTCAGCCTTCCCAGGGTTCACGTGATCAAAATTCAGATCCTTGGCGACTGACTCCTACTTGTGATGGTTGCAGTGTCCCAGGGGAGGGGAGGGGTCATCTGACATTTACTCTATCATTTTTTTTTTGACATTTATCATTGCCAGAACCGGAATATGTTGAATCTTAGAACTGTTGTTGTTGTTAATTGCGAAGTGGTGTCCGACCCATTGCGACCCCATGGACAACGTTCCTCCAGGCCTTCCTGTCCTTTACCATCTTCTGG